TAAACTGAAATTGAAATAGCACGTCAAAAATGGATTGCTCATGTGCAACACTATCTTTCAAAATTGTGGCCGGATTTTTACGGTTTTAACAGAAGTTGTATCTTACAAATGGGAAATGAATGCAAGTGGAAATGCGCTTTATGTAAATCGTTTACGATTACTTTTTAACTTGTTGTAGTTTTCATTTGCTCTAAATGAAGAAGTAAAAACTACGAATCAACAAAAATTCATAAAAATCGGAGGCGAGTTCGGCATAAGTTATCATTGATATTTTCGAGGGCGTTCTTCCCGTTACACAAGCGATTTTAAAATAGCGCGTGTATCCATCAAGACTCGTTTAATCGCCCTATAAATTAGTTAAAAAATGCAAATCACGACATAGTCTTAAGTTAATTTTTTTTCGTACCACTTTAGATACTTAATGGCACGATTTAGAATTAGAAGAATTTTAATGCCCTCTTATAACTGTAAGTAGATCTGCGAGTCCATTAAATCGATAATTAAAAAAACCAAACTAGATCCAGTGGATTTATTTAAATTTTATAAAATTTAATTACCCAAGAGAACTAGTTTGATGGATGATCGTTAAACCGGTGGAGATTTTTTGAAAAGGCTCGCCGCGAAGGTGTCGATTAAATACATACAAAACGGACCTCGGTTTCCAGACGTTATAAATTTTTATGTACGGTCGAGAAAATATGATAATTTGTCGCACGCTGTGCAATTCTCTTAACTAATTGGTAACGTGAAGTCTGTACAGTGCAAGTATCGCCATTAATTATGTTCGGGTTTATTCGATGATCGGCAGTTAATCAATTTTTTCTTTTAATTTACGACGGGGACGCACCGCATGGTTGCTTCTTTAATTATTTCCAAAAAAAAACCTACGCATTTACGAACAGGATTTCATTCAATTCATCTCCAATTTGGTGAGATATTTGCGAAAAAAGGCGGCGAATTGCATTGCAAAGTGGTTCATTAATACGACGGCGTATACATATAAGATACGTGTGACAAGTATGCAAATAGGAAGCATTTAATTAGTCCAATTTGAATATCTGCAGCAACGGCTCAAATTGACAATTTTAATGATGTCACTCTGCATACTGAAATAGAGCTGTGCGAATTTACAATCGAATAAGCATCCTGTTTAGTCAAGTTTCCATTTTGGAGTGTCAACGTCTCTATATACGATATAACAAAGTTTCGTGTAGTGAATCAATTGAGAGTCGGAATACAATGAATATTTATTTCATTCAAATCATCTCGTAAACGTATTATGTACTTCATTCGACTGATGCTGGCAGTAGAAAACAACCCTAGTGTTAATAACCAACATTTTACAGTAACACATAAAAAATGTCTAAATTTAACAAAGTTTCTGTTACCACTAATTAATTACATAATTAAAACCCGTGCTTGGTTTGCCATTAATTATCCCCCTTTTTTGTAAGTATCTTAGACAGAAAACCTTGATTTTCGCATATTTTTCGGTTCTGTTTGATTTTGAAATATATTGTTTATTAATTTCTTTTGAACCACTAATAACAGTTGATGATAGGTATAACACTTACATGAAACGTGCCTAGAATTTTTTGGAGACTCCAAAAATGCAATAATGTAAGGATATTTCTATTTAAGGAGAAACATCTTTTCTGTCACAATTTTTAGGGACACCCTGTGTTTCAAAATATGCGCCAAATCCAAAAACAAAATTAACGGATAACTTTGCTGACAGTTTCCTTTGTCGCAATTTCACTTTACACGGGAAAGTAGAATATATCTCTTATACGTTGTGGCACTGCTTAGAGCACGGTAAAAATGTTTGGGGAATTTACTGAATAGCACGTGGTTTATCAATACGGACAGTATATTTATCTAACTGAATTGATTTCAAGCTTTTAAACGGCTTAATCCTTATTGACAAATGACACTTCTTTTGACTAACTAATGTGCGCGATGACTACACACGGATTTCGCTAAGGGTAGTGAAAATTAAAACGCACTTTTTAGATTATAATTCCAAATTGGAATTTTACTTTTCCACTGGTGCAAAATGATAATTTCGAGGATAATTTCCAAAAAAAACTACTGGACACTAATTGTCGCTCTGAACTGGATTAACCGAAGGAGGAGGGGTTAATAGTTGCGGGCAGATTTTAACCTCAGAACAAGAATTAAAAGAAAATGGGTAGAGATGGGAAGAGGAACACAAGATAGAAAATAAAGAGATAAATAGTACAACAAAGGGGTGAAGTATTACTGGAATTATCAGAAAAGTGTAAATAAAAAAGACTGGAATAAATAGACGAATTTAAAGATAGGAACAAGGATAAAATCAGATCATCAACCGATGGAGTCTAAAAGATAAGAAAATCAAGAAATAAAGAACATTAAAATAGCGAAGGAGAAGAGAGAAAAAAGAAAGAAGCGGTGGGGCACCGTGCACAGAAGAGCGAAATAGATATAGAGAACAGATGGAGAATGAAAGAAGAGGGCAAATAGACGGGTGAGAGGAGAGAAAAAATACTCAAGAAAATGTAAAAGAAAGATGACGAAACAGAAAGACTACGAAGAGCAATTCATGGAAATAAGGGTGAGAAAAATAGAACAGAATACAATTAGAGGAACGGAAACATTTTGTGAAGCTACTGTGGAAAGCGGAAGAAAGAGGAGTTAATGGAAGAGTAGAGGTTGAAGGAGATGAGATCTAACAATCAAAAAGATTGCAGAAAGGGAAAGCGGCAGGGAAAGATGCAGATAGCTAATGAGGCAATGGATAGGGTTCAGGAAAGGTTAAGAAATCTAGTAAACAAGAAAATATAAGGAGGGGGGGGGGCGTTAATCCGAAGAAAGCAAGGGAGGGGCTGATCTTTAAAGGAGATTGTGTGGGAAACTAGGGGAAACACTATAATGACCAGGGCGTATAGAATCTATGTAATGACGACAAAAGAAGAGAAAGAGAAATGGAAGGGTAGAGGAGGAAACACAAATGGGCTTCAGAAAAGGGAGGAGAACGATCGACTGCCTATTTATATGTCTTTTAGCGAAATCCTTCATTTCACGAAACGCTTAATCATTTAGTGAAAATGTGGCACATTGTACTTTCTAGGGCTAAGCGATTGGGTTCCCTTGCTCCTCGAGATCGACCAATGGTATCTCTTATTGATCTAGAAGGGAAAAGGAAATTACCCCACACGTGATATTGCCAGCGTTTCACTAAATGTCAGGCTTTTCGCGGAATGACGGATTACACAGATTGGTGGAAAAGGCATTGGAAAAAAAGGGAGGAACAGGTGAAGGAAATGGCCGGCAAAATGGAAAGGAATGGAGCTAAATGTAGAAAAGCGAAGATGATGAGATTTGGGAACGGGGTGGAAGGAGAAGGGAGATGGAAGTGGAGAGAGGAAAGAATAGAGGAGGTAAACGCATTGAAATATATAGGGTACCACATGCAAAAAAAATAATTGGGAAAACGCACAGATATGAAAATTATGGAAAATGGGGGTGGTGGCGATGAAATAGGTGTGGGGAATCGGAGTGAGCATGTTTTTACAACGGAAGGGACACATGAGGGTGGAAGGAGTGGGAGGAACTAGAGGAAGTGCAAAGATATTGTAAATGGGTATTCGGGTTAAACGGAAGGACATCAAATTGTGGAGGAAGAAACTACCATGGAAAAGATAAGGATAGCGTCGGGACTTAAGGGGGTAGGATTCGAAGAAAGGGGCGATAGAGAAAGAGAGTTGGTGAACGAATGCTTGACAACGAGGATGGACGCAAAATGAAGGTGGGAAGGGGAAAATATTACGAAATGAGGAGCGGAGCAGGAGAAAAGACGGAAAACGGGTAGCAAAAAAGGATGTGGATGCAAAGAGAGTGAAGATAGAGAGCGCTCGCGGCAGCAGTACTTATAAAGACCAAATAAGGGAGTGGTTCCCAAAATATTTGTGAGAAGGAAGAAAAAATATTACAAACAATATCGAGATTCAGATGCGGAAATGAAGAAAGAGGAAAAGAAAAATGGAAACAAGAAGAGGAAAGAAAATGTAGGGTGTATGCGAAGAGGAAGAAGAGCACCTAGAACACATGTTATGGAACTGTACTGAGGTGGAAATGATAAGAGGGGGCTGTAGGAGTGAGATACTGGATGAGGGAGCGGAAGGTGGCGTCCAATAATCATTGATTGTCTTTAAATGATTTGCGATTAACCCCATTTCCTGCAATGGTTATTTAGCGGTCTCACTGGAACACCCAAATTTAATGTTCGTTTAACAATTTTGACCACCCACCAACCAAAATGTTTGAAACACAATATGACATCAAGTTAACACCCCCATTTGCTTTTGTGTTTGGTGTTGAGGAGATTAAACCGAAATTTTTATTTCAGTGAGGGGTGTGAACTGTCTGCACTAGGGAAAATCAGCCTTGTCATGGCGTACTCTTTGCCCAAATGTGCTCTAATACCAAACTAATCCAATCTGAACTTACGCACACAGATTTTATCTAACACGTGTAGGTATAATCTAGTATTATGAATATACTTAATAAAGAGATGGGGGTGTATCTCTATAAATCTCATTCATTTCATAATCCAACATGCTCTTCAACGTGATTAAACGACAGCAAGCATCTCAATATCGCACATTTTGCTATGAAAATATTTTTCTCGTGCCACACCAGAAAACCCAGGTGGCTTTTAGTTAATTGAAATTCCGGTAGAGTGCTTTTTTTTCTATTCTTTCTTTTACGTGCGAATGTGTATGTGAGGCAAACGCCTGCAGAGGTGACAATATCGAAAAATCGTTCGTCAATCACGTATCGAAATTGGTGCGCGTCCAAACTTGATGTTTCATTTAAACGAGAGGCACTCATAATTACCATAAACCGAACGATCGTAGAATGTAAATTGGATGTAAATTATCGAAGCTGAAAAGATTTAACTTTGTGTCGTCCGTCATGAATGTCGAATTAATATTTCTGTATTCTTTTCGTTTCAGGTGGTTTTGTCATTTCGACGATGATAATTACGTTAATGTGCCTCGACTCGTCGAGTTTCTAAAGGATTATAATCCTAAGGAGGACTGGTACTTGGGGAAGCCGAGCATACAGCGAGCTTTTGAAATAAGTAGTAAAAATAAGACCGCGGTGAGTACTTACATTTAGAACTGTCTTTAAAATTACGACGACTGTTCAGTTGAGCAATGCAGCATTTCATTTTCTATAAAGCAACGGTTAAAAGCTGGCGAAATGGGAGAGTATTCGGTTGGAAGGACCAACGGTATTAATATAATTTGCTGAAATAGAAAAAAAACATACTAAATACGTTTTATCAGTGATTAAATTTTCCCATATGAACAAGCATTTTTCTAAGGAACGCACTTTTCATTCTAATAAGATTTAGATGTGAGTGATTCGTCATTCATTGGGAATTTCTCCCAAGTAATCGATACCAGGAGACACTGTTTGAGCGTCACTTGTCTCAAGTTCCTACGAGCCCTGAATTTAGAAACTTGTGCTCTCTTCTATTAAGAAAATGAATTTGAACTTAATTCATACGAAACTTATTTATATATTCTCTACTAAAGAAAAATTTCAAAAAACCGAAAACCTTTATATATAACTACAAAAGTTATAACCCCCCACAAAAGAAAAGTATGAATGTAAGAGCGAGTTTCCTTAACAACTATAAAGTTTAAAAACGAGAAAGCCGAAAATAGAGGGTTTCTTTTAGACATAATCAGAGAAACAAAAATGTTTTTACGAAATTGTCAAAGTGCTTTAACTTCCATGCCTTTGTGCCAGGCAATTTTAGTTTCCTTGACAGTGGCAGTACCTGATTACTTTACCTGTCGGTCAATTAAGAAGAAACAGGCCATTTTGAGACAAATACTTTCAAAATTTTGAAAGAATTCCAAAAATGACGATTGTGGTCATAATTCTACCCGTAAAATTACGGTCTATTTTCTTAAGATGTGTCCATCTAATGGTTAATAGTTGTGAAAGCTGAAATAAATGTCCCATTTTAGGCATACTATAAAATATGATGGTCTGTTAGCCCGAGAACTAAAACGTTATTTTTGGTGACAAGAAAAGCGTATACTACACTAACAGTAAAATATTGCCGTTTACCCTTGACGTCACACTCTAATAGAGGAAACGATATAAAATGTGAAACATGTGGCACAGCATTCCAGTTCGTTGACAAATCTCCACAGAACTCGATCTTGATCTTGAATCTCTCGAGTTTATTTATACTAACAACGAGGCCTCGTCCTTATATAATTAAACCCTCAATAAGATAATTAACGTTTACCACATCGAAGGAAGCGCATAAATCTTTGACGCGTTTTTAATGAGGGATACGCTACCTACCGCTGCTATGTCCACGTTATTTCAACTCCCGGTAACAAAACGAACAAGACTAAGATTAATAAACCTTCAGTGGTATTTAACGTAGAAAAGGATTACGCTCTCTTCGCAATTATTCTAATTACGGTAACTGTATATCGAGAATTATCTCATTAAGCGTTGGTATTTTTTTTAAATAGGCGACAGGTGCGCGTTAGGAAGAGGTTTGTTGGTCCATTAACGCTCCCAAATTTATGGGAGCTCTCGTTTTGTTCACAAGTTGATTTTAATAAGCCGAAGGCTGTTCCAGTTCAAACACCTCAAGGATTCAGTGATTATCTAATTTCCTGCTTAATAAGTTATGCGTTGCCGGTGGGCTAAAGACTAATTTGGGGTTATCATTTTCTAAAGTTTGGTTTTGGCCTTATTTAGTTAGCTTAATCTAAGCAAACGAAACGAAAACAACATTTAATTTGGTAGATCAGTTTGGTCTGACTTGGTTAGATTTTTTTGCTTCGGACCTAGGCATTCATTCAAGTTTGTTTTTCATTGTTTCCACATGGTTCAATTTTAGCTTGTTTATTAAATCTGGTTTATCACTCTGTACGAGGTTGTTCATCATGGCTTTTAAATCTTGTGAGATGTCTACTTATGGGCAGGGCCCGGGCTATGTTTTAACGCCTTGGGCTATAAATTGGCAAGTCCAGATCTAAAATGAAAATAAATTAAAGAATATAATTCAGAAAATCTTGCCGCCCCTCCGAAAGTCGCGCCCTATAGCCCATTTATAACCCGGGGCCTGCCTATGAATGTGGTATTGGGGACATTCGAGAAGAATGTGCCGCTCCCATTATTAGTCCCAGGGTTGTCTGATTGTTGCTCAAATTAATAATTTTGCTTCCGGATTGTATTGAGTCTAGTTCCAGTTTTTGCGGCTAAGTCGGCTCTTTCGTTGCCTTGGATACGCTGGACGCCTCACAGGAGAAAATGGGGTTGTAGCTGATACTCTTTGAATGTATCTACATAGGTGAAAAAGTCCCGGGACTAACCAATAGATGGCGCCAGAAATATCGAATGCGCTAAAGTCACTAGATATAGAAAGTACCGCAATCTTCCGCCATTTTTGGGCAAATTTGCTGCCAACTTAAAAAAATTGACGAATAAAATCTAAATACTTTTATGGAAGCAGTATTTGTTTTTGTAACTCAAATACTTTCACAAATATTTAGTATTCGAATACTTTGCAAAGTATTTGGATACATTGAGAAGTATTCGAATAATTTTGGTGCGTAGAATCCAAAACAATTCGTACTTTTTCGATCAGACTTCTCAATCAAAAGTTATAGACTAGAAACCAATTTCGAAAGAAAATTCAAAGGGCTGTAACTTTTGAACTAGTAGCCCAAACTTGGAACTGTTTAAAATTATGGATTTTACAGGCCACATTCTATAAGAAAATGTTTTTTCCCGGTCGATCTGAGACAATTTTTTTTTCGGGCCTCACAAAAAGGCAGTGTATAACCTTCCTTTTTTACCAAAAATCGACTACACCAAAATTTCTCAGGAAAACAATTTTTTCTTATTAATTTTGGTGCGTAGAATCCAAAACAATTCGTACGTTTTCGATTAGACCTCTCAATAAAAAGTTATGGACAAAAAACAAATTTCGAAAAAAAATTCAAAGGGCTGTAACTTTTGAAATAGTAGCCCAATCTTGGAACTGTTTGAAATTATGGATTCTACAGGCCACATTCTATAAGAAAATTTTTTTTCCGGGTCGATCTGAGACAATTTTTTTTTTCGGGGCTCAAAAAAAGGCAGTGTATAACCTTCCTTTTTTACCAAAAATCGACTGCATCAAAATTTCTCGGGAAAACACTTTTTCTTATTAATTTTGGTGCGTAGAATCCAAAACAATTCGTACTTTTTCGATCAGACTTCTCAATAAAAAGTTGACTAGAAACCAAATTCGAAAGAAAATTCAAAGGGCTGTACTTTTGAACTAGTAGCCCAATCTTGGAACTGTTTGAAATTATGGATTCTACAGGCCACATTCTATAAGAAAATTTTTTTTCCGGGTCGATCTGAGACCATTTTTTTTTCGGGCCTCAAAAAAAGGCAGTGTATAACCTTCCTTTTTTACCAAAAATCGACTGCACCAAAATTTCTCGGGAAAACACTTTTTCTTATTAATTTTGGTGCGTAGAATCCAAACCAATTCGTACTTTTTCGATCAGACTTCTCAATCAAAAGTTATAGACTAGAAACCAATTTCGAAAGAAAATTCAAAGGGCTGTAACTTTTGAATCAGTAGCCCAATCTTGGAACTGTTTGAAATTATGGATTCTACAGGCCACATTCTATAAGAAATTCGAATACTTTTTATAGTATTCGAATACCTTTGATAGTATTCGAATACCTTTGATAGTATTAGAATACTTTTGAAAGTATTCGAATACCTTTGAAAGTATTCGAATACATTCTAAAGTATTTGAATACTTTTCAATGTATCTGTATCTAGTATTCGCTTGTGCTGGACGTAAAAGTATTTAGTATTCAAATACTTTTTGAAAGTATTCTGCCCAGCTCTGCTTCATAGTACTGTCATGTTTTATAAAAATATATACAGATATCTCCAAACAGGTGGAACAATCCCTAACATTAAAGTTACTAGAATCTGGTAACTTCCGCCATTTTTGGGCAAAAATCATGCGTTCTCTTTCTAACACACGAGCCCAATGGATTGCGGTACTTTCTATATTTAGTGACTTTACGAATGCGCTATTGTTTTATGTAGTACCAACCTTCAAAAGAAACGTTTCAAAATTTCCAGCATTTCGTTCAGTAGTTTTCGAGATATTGAGGTTGAAGTGACGCTACTTTTGTGAATTTGTATAAAATGAATCAAAACGAGTTTCGCGTCTTAATAGAACAATGCTATTTAATGAGTAAAAGTGCCGTACAAGCCCAGGAATGGTTTGCAAATGTTACCGGAAAAATTCTCCGTCGAAAACAATCATTTTCCCATGGTATGCAGATTTCAAGCGTGCTCGTACGACCACCGAAGACGCAGAACGCTCTGGAAGGGCCAAAGAGGTGACTACGCCACAAAGCGTTAAAAAATTGAGATTGAGAGCTTTGGTCGCATGATCCTTCTCCTTAAGTCGGCCAAGTAAAATGCTGAGCTGTTCAAAATCATAGTGATATTCTTCAGGGTTGTTCATAATTTCAGTTGCAATGACAGATTTCTGCCTATAGCTTCTTGATTCATAGTTTTGGTTTTTTTGTGCCAGGAGCTCGCATTTTTTGGTATGTTCTTTGGGAGATTTTGAGCGTTTGCTCTAAAAGCTTCTTGAAACTCTCGTTGGATGACAAAGAAAGTTGGTAGTGTGGGAAAGCTCGATTTCATTTCAGGTTGGCGGGTCACTACACCAGTAGGGTTTTGTCTTTGTGTTGATTCGACTGTTGTGGTTTGTAGCTTCCGTGAGAGTTGATTTTTGTTTATTAAACCAAAGTTTGGAGAGCACTTTATTCAATAATCCATACTTATGCTAAATTAGAACATTGAGAAATGTACAGAAAATTAAGGAGCTCGTCCAAGATTGTTGCTGGAATACTGTTGCTACAATTGCTCATTGTCTTCACGACACACTGCTGAACTTCTGTGAAACCGCTACGAAATACAATTAATAATCGCAATATTGTAATGGAACTACAAGCGCATTACCGACACGCGTCCCATGTCTCGCTAAACTTATCGACAGCAGCAGACCCACACTTTTGCATAGGAACCCATTTGTCATTAACGCACTGAAAGCCATCTTCTACGATGTAAGCTTCGGAAACAATTAGCAAACAGGGTTAACTTCCAGCAAAGTACTTACAAACGATTCGTTCCCCGTCGCTTTCACAAACAAAGTTGACTAACCCATCCGTCACCTTCCAAATCTGAGTGAAGACGTTCCTTTTGTCGACCTCCACGCAGTTTGCAAATCCATCCATCATTGCATGGACGCGCTCGAGCAGCGCAACGCGTAAATCGCAATACTTCCCCACGACCTCATTCAAATCTCCGGTAGTGCGCGACCTCTTCACTTCGTCCTTAATTTTCTGCAGACTAAACCGGGTGTTCGTAAAATTACTCATCTCCCCAACCGACTTCTGTAACATCTCCCGGTGAGATTCGGCCAGAACCAATAAAAGTCGCTGACTTACCACCAAGTTATCGTAGCTAAACTCGCCACCATTTCTCTTGCACGTTTCCTCAATTGCGTTGGCGATGCCCTTCACGAAGCTGTTTCCATGATTCTCTACAGCCCGTGCGGATGCTGGAAAGGTATGTTACGTTGGCGAAACTGGGTTCAGAGGTGACTTACCGAGCAGCAGTAACAGTCCAACGAGGTACTTCATAGCTAGAGTGGTACTGAGGTTGTTCATTTATCTTCGGCTGGCGTAATTAGGATGATAAGAAATCAGGAAGTTTAGAATCAAATAGAAAGTTGTTTGTATAAGTCTTTGATAAAGTTACAATATTGCAAACCCATTTCAATAATTGTGGATGGATATTCATTCATTCAAAAATACCGAAGACTTTGGGAAGTCCAAAATAGATTTTCCATAATTATCGTCTTCAAGGGGAAGACTCGCCGCGACCAATTCCATCTCAACAGTTCGTTATCCCCGCTGAAACTCGCTCCAAGAGAAATTTTCTGAACCAGCTTTTTAGGGGATGCACAGTTTTCTGTGAGACCCATATTCTCGTGAGCGAATTATTTCGAATTTTTTTAGGGTGAATCAATAGCCTAGGGACCAATTTCCACAGCTTCGCTTTGCCACTCTGCAAAGAATCCGAGGGTGCATTGACTCCAGAGCTGGGCAGTATTCGATTTTGTAAATACTTTTTAGTATTCAAATCCTTTAAAGCATTCAAATACTTTGTAATTAAATACTTTTATGGAAGCAGTATTTGTTTTTGTAACTCAAATACTTTCACAAATATTTAGTATTCGAATACTTCGCAAAGTATTTGAATACTAACCTTCCTTTTTTACCAAAAATCGACTACACCAAAATTTCTCGGGAAAACACTTTTTTTTATTAATTTTGGTGCGTAGAATCCAAAACAATTCGTACTTTTTCGATCAGACTTCTCAATCAAAAGTTATAGAGTAGAACCAATTTCGAAAGAAAATTCAAAGGGCTGTAACTTTTGAACTAGTAGCCCAATCTTGGAACTGTTTGAAATTATGGATTCTACAGCCCACATTCTATAAGAAAATTTTTTTTTCCGGTCGATCTGAGACAATTTTTTTCTTGGGCCAAAAAAAAGGCAGTGTATAACCTTCCTTTTTTACCAAAAATCGACTACACCAAAATTTCTCGGGAAAACACTTTTTCTTATTAATTTTGGTGCGTAGAATCCAAAACAATTCGTACGTTTTCGGTTAGACCTCTCAATAAAAAGTTATGTACAAAAAACAAATTTCGAAAAAAAATTCAAAGGGCTGTAACTTTTGATCTAGTACCCCAATCTTCAAACTGTTTGAAATTATAGACACTCGATCGATCTCGATCTCAGACAATTTTTTTTCCGGCCTCAAAAAAAGGCAGTACTTTTAAGTTATTCAAATATTTGAGAACAATTTAGAAATGTTTAGGGAAAGTTTCCATTGTCACATAATCAAATATAAAAATCCGATACATCTGAATACCGAACTCGATAGTCTACGTAACTTAAAAATAATAGGGACCTTTCTTATATCCTTAAAACCATGTGTACCAATTTTCAAAGCGATGGCACGTTTCTAAACAAGTTATCATGCACACGGACAAACGGATGGTCAAAAATGGATCTGATCCAAAATCGCTAGGATTAATTTCAGAAAGGCGTACGTATCATGTGCACGACGTACGATCGCTTTGAAAATTGGTACATGTATTCTTAAGGATATAACTGGTATAAGAAAGGTCCTGGTACGTACCTCCTATATAATAATATAATAATAATAATAATACGCTTTTACTCCCCTTAAATTTGTATATAACAATAGAATAATATAAAAAAAGCTAACCCCATACAAAGTCTAACTTGATTTTTTAAGTATTATTAAGCCTTTTATCTAATATACTAGTTTAAATTTTTAGTATATTTGAGTGACAAGTATTCGAATACTTTTGAAAGTATTAGAATACTTTTTATAGTATTCGAATACCTTTGAAGGTATTCGAATACATTCTAAAGTATTTGAATACTTATTTTTTTAAGTATTTGAATACTTTTCAATGTATCTGTATCTAGTATTCGCTTGTGCTGGACCTAAAAGTATTTAGTATTCAAATACCTTTGATTTGTGTAAAGTATTTACTATTTAGTATTCAAATACTTTTTCAAAGTATTCTGCCCAGCTCTGATTGACTCTTTTTTAAATGAACGATATAGTCCTTCGCCACGGCTCAATTTTGTAGAACCATATTGACCCTCCTATTCTACTTATTTGCCTGATTGTCTATTGTGCCAAATCTTGGATCGTGTCATTTTTCAACTTATAAGTATCAAAGTCAAACATTGAGAAGCGATCCTGAGAGCAATGTTTTAAATACAACATCCACTATATCATCATTAAGTAAAGCCCGTACAGAAAAACGACGCCTACCTCAAGCTGGGCCAGGAATGCGGTTGCACTTTCAGTTATAAGCCGAATTAAACATTATGTGTAACATAAAAAACGACTTTCGCCGCCGTATATATCAAAATTGAATTCGGTGTACGAGATTGCTTCCTGGACAGCAGCAAGTCACTTCACCATGATAGTTAGGTATGATACAGAAGAGCTTTTCCACTTCGCTGCCTCCGCCTTTCTGATACACGCAGTCGTTCATCAACTCGCAGCCTCGGGGTTATTACTGTTCCGATATCAAGATCTACATACATGTCCGCATATCGTATCTTAAATTAGAATGCAACGTTTAGATTTAATTTAGAAAATGTGACCTTTTTTGGAGCGCGAGCTCACGAATGTTCTTAAGACACGCGCTGGTTATTAATTTCTTTTACGTAGAGGCTGCGAATTTGTCACGATTCGCGTCGATAAAGATATTGCATAAAAGTGGACCACCCTTCAACTCCTGTGGAACACCGTCAACTGCTCATGAACATTTATTAATTACAGTAGTTTCGCAAATCGCTTTACATAAAAAAATCAGAACAAAACTGCTCCGTTGCAGAGGAGTTTCATACTTCTTGGCTTACAGAACCAAAAATCCGCACTTCTCCTTTGAATTCTATTTTTGCTTCTATTTAAAAAGAGTAGTATGCTTTATAAGGGTGGAGCGATTATTCCGATAAGTCTCGTTGTCAACGAATGTTGAGGAAGAAACTTAAAGGGGAAAGTTACCCTGCGGCCTGCAATCCTTCTTAAGACGCATGTCAGTAGTATCTTCTAGAAATCTTCAGTGTTCAGTTAAAAATAAGCGTTTGTAATATTCGGGCAAATAATCCTAATTTCCCTATGGACGAATTTTCAAAGGAACGTGTAAGGAGGTGCATTTTCTTGCAATCCTTACGACTGAAGTAACAAAAACCGTTTGCAATGAATATTCGGATCGAGAATATATAGTGGGCGAGTCGCTCTGCTGCAGAGAAATTTAAAGGGACAAATTATCCCGCAAATTAGAGGTACCTATTCTGGAATAAGGAACTATTGTCGAAGTTACACAAAAGCGTTTGCAGAGAATTTTCTAGGGGCGAATATTCAGAGCGCAACTCTCCCTGTTGTAGAGAAATTTAAGGGAACAAAATATTCTGGAATCCTCATGAGACCATTCAGGGCCGTTCCTAGACACTTGGCCGCCTGCGTGACAAAATGAAATTGCCGCCCCTTTTTCCAACTTTAGAGAATAATCAAGTTAACTAATAATGCTTTACTTTATGCTGTAATTTAAAAATAATGCACTAACAACAAATTGTGAATAATACAACAAGAATTGCTATCTTTTTTTGAGTTCCACTACATTTTTATCAATTTTAGTTTATTAAAAATTGTATTACTTACATCCTATTTCTAGAATTGTTAATCGATAAACAATCTACAAAACAGTTTGCGAATTATTTGCATAATTAAGTTGCAACTCAATCGTATATTCGTTTAAAATTAGTAGTCATTTAATAATTTTTGCGTAACCGTATTTTTTCTATTGCATACTCGTAATGAAGGTAAAATAAGCTATCCAACGATGTTGCAAGACCTATGTTGCCATTAAAAAAAAAACAAAATGGCGCCGGTGTCAAAACCATACCGGACAAAAATCTCCTTTTCATGCTAGAATATGCACAAACACATCATATTTAAGTCCTAAAACTTTTAAACCGATATCTCCAACCGTTTTCACATCAGTGCTTTGGGTCCATCTGTATTAGCCACTTTGTATAATGAATGACATAATTGTATACAAATAAAGCCTTTGAGGAACGACCCTGAGACCTTTATGGAAAATTCAAGACACATCTTCCGGACGAAAATCTTCAGCATCGAGTTAAAGAAAAGCGTTTGCTATGTTCAGTTCGACAATTTTCTTGGGGCGAATATCGTTAGGGTGGATTCGAGTTACAAATAGAAAGCGATTTTCAATATTCAGACGCAGTTCGGATAAATATTAGATTCCTTATGGCGCAACTTTACCTCGAATTTTCAACTTTTTCTTCAATGACTTCTAATAAAAACCGATTTGTGACTTTGTGATTTTGGTTTAAGCGTAAAGCGCTTTGACGCTACCGTGAAATCTATCTGACAGTAATTTTCGTAGAACCAAATGTATTTACATAGGTGGGGGAGGAGGAGAGGGAGATTATGTTTAACTGAAACGTGAAAGGATCCACAAGAACTGGCTTCCAAAATATGAATCCCATTCTTCCTCCTCTTCCTTGGTATTTTATTCTTTTTTTTTAAATAATAATAATATATTTCGTTGACCCAGGCAATAATGACTATTGTTTGGTAGTGTCAGATGAGTATTAAATAATTTTGAAAATACTGTATAAAAAACCGTACACAACACAAACAGCAATTCTATTCATAAGGGGGGTCCGACCAGGCAACACTTAGGCACGCCTACCCCCTTTCTTTCGCAACTAGGTTCAGAGCCCGTTCCTCTCAATAAAGGATAGGACCCTGTTGCGTCACCCTCCCCGGTTTCAGATAACTGTCGCCAAGTAACTGAAGCCTGTCTTTGATCATTGTGTCACAGTGACAGACCACATGCTCTGGGGTGCCATAGAATCTGCACGTGGGCTTTCGTACAAGCCCAAGTTTGTGCAGGTGGGCCACCAGTGCCCCGTAAGGACACCGGTGATCTTCCTAGCTTATATTCAGTTTTAGAAACTTAAAAGACTCGAATGAATTTGCCAAGGAGCCCTGTTGAAAAGGCGCCCGATTGCTTGTTGCCCCTGACAACGAGGAATCAATTTGTAGGGTATGTTCGGGCCCAACGAGGACTCCCCCACTACCTTCACGAGCCAGCTCGTTCGCCCTTTCGTTGCCTCCTATCCTGCTACGCGCTGGCACCCAGATCAAGCTTACGCTGTTAGTCTCACTTATTCGGGCTGCAATCAAGGGCCGTAGCCGATCGGAACCTGTCGGCTGCTGCTCAATGTGCCCTTTCCAGGTCAGGTCAGGCTCATTTGACGTCCTCTAAGATTGAGCCCATCAAGGGCCGGTTTCCTTCCATTCGTAAATGTTAACAGGTTAACAAAGGCTATGGCTATTGCAACACCTATCCACCTATCCCAGAGCCTTTCCAGTTAGAGATCGTCCGCATATCTTTGTTTAAACGCTCCGTCCTCGTTTAGGGTGCGGAGGAGCCCGTCTAGCACCAGGCACCATAACAGTGAAGATAAAACTCCATCCTACGGATGTCCTCTACAGTAACCGATAAGCTCATCTCCGTCGTCCCGATTGAGGGTATAATGACTCTACTTTTGAACATGGCGCGGATCTATCTTACGATTGACTCATCAATTCCAAAGCATTCAGCAGCTTTCTTCACTCTATTTAGAAAAAAAACGATGATATGCTGATGTGCATTTAATTCTTCGCCATGTCATATTTGGTACGACCCGGTTTAGTTAGGTACAACTGCCTTTCTCCAGATTTCTGAGATACACTCTAAAACCCGGGAGGCTATAAAGAGGTGTAGCAAATGTAAAAGCAGCTCTAGGCCCTTCTGCAGAAGAACCGGGAATATCCCGTCCGATCCTGTACTCTTAAATGGGCTGAATGTGTTGACCGCCCATCTCAGAGAAGGCCACCAAGCGCCTACTCCGTTCTTTCAGCCGAAGTCTTAGAGCTACGAGAGCCCTGAAACAGAAATCAGCCATTAGAAAAAACTGGATTCGTCTATCTACATAAATGCAAGTCCTAGGGTTCGGTTGACTGTCCCTCTAAAACACGGATAGTCCTCTGCACCTGGCCCTGGCCCTACCAGGCGCCTTCCTGCGGGACAACGTCCTTTACAGGCTCATCCTGAGACCAGGATTGTGCGTCTGGAGGCGCTTCAAGTGGGCGGCCGTGACTGGGAGCTCGTTAACACATTCATCACCTTAGTTATCCTAGGGATGTGCCTCTGAACTTTCAGAGACGCGCCATCCCAGCGCCTAATAAGAGAGATGGTCCTTTGCACGGTACATTGGTTCTCGTATTCGACCACAATGGCACCCTGCGGATTCCGGCGGAACCCTGCTGGCCGGGGAAGGGCCCCACCCTCCTCCATTCCGTCTACAACTGCATTTAATACAGCCATAATGCACCTCTACTGAGACGGGGCTCCGTGATGTCCACCTCTGGGTGCGGTTCCGGAACAATGAACACCCTGAGCCCCGCTGCAGCAACTTGCCCATAGGTTCGTGCTGCACCTGCAACTTTAGGCGCTCCAGAACTTCTAGGCTTCTTCTCAGGTGATCCTGAGCCAGGCCCCCCCGATCTGAGACGTTTGGTCCCTGACGTCGGCGCAGGACCCGCTTCACCCGAAGTTTTACTCTCGAGCCGGCGCTTCCTGGCCATCGCCAGTCCCATTCTTTTTGCGAATAGGAGCTGGCCCACTACCAGGTCCTACTAGAATATGGCCCTGCGTTGGTGGTTTTGGTCCTCTCCGACGAGGAGCCCTGAAATCGTTTGTGTGAATTGTCGTCCGTACAATTCCCAAGTGTATATAGTGCGGAAATGCGGCCTCACCTTGGCAGAGTCGCTTTCCCAGGGCTTGATTGTCAGCCCCTTCCCGAAAGAAAGGGGCCATCACTTGAAGGTCTCCCGGTATCTGAGGGGCACCGTTTCCGACACGCAATCCTCGGCAAAGTAGCTAACATCTTGACTTGGGAGCTTGGTCCGCGACGATTTCTGCGCAAAACTATTTCGCGGGATTACCCACGTCTACTTAAGAAAGCAATTACTGCTCCTTCGGTCAACCTTTCGGATTTTACACAAGCGCAGTTATTTGAATCATATTCTACTGTCTCAAGGTCCGAGCAAACGCTCCCTGCTATCATTCAGTAGCACATACGCAAGATATCCAAACCTCTGTTTGTCCGTCAGTAGTTACTCAACCATGAAAATAATTTTCGGGCTACTTTTACTAGTCGGTAAGTGTCTATTTTTTTTTTCTAATTTCCGCATGACCAGAATAATGAAGATAAAACTTGCATCACCGGGAAAAACCTACACTTATTATTTTTAGCGCTCGCTTCGGGTCAAAACGAAGTTCAAACTATTGGTGAAATCCTAATGGCGATACTGGAGGCAATCGCGAAAGTACTAGAAGCTCTAGGTCGCGTCTTTGTACAAATTCAAAAAGCGATTAAAGATGGCTGTGACCGAAACGGGGGTCCTGGTGCCTACGAGAACTTGACCGTAAATACACACTTCTAATTCGTACATTAAAAGGCGGTCTTGTAGAAAGTCTGGTCGGAATCGACCGACTTTTATAACAGTCACTTCGATGGATTTCAGCAGGAAGTTGAAGTAGCGAAAAAAGCTGGAAACTTAAGTGCGGTTTTTAAGAATTACTGTCGCCTAAGTGTTCCACTGATCCATCACGTACAACGGTTGTCAGATGCGACAAGAAAATGCAGTGGGCCGGATAACATACCCAAGATTCAGCATTTTCGAAATATGGCGGAGAGAGCCATCCATTTTGGTTGTGAAAATGATGGGGCGCGGATTGCATGTAAGTTGACTAAAGCGATACTTTATTAGGTGTTGCGTTGAAGTATTTGTAGCAGAAGATGGCTACGATTGCGTGATTGGCAAGAATACTGCTCTGTTGGAATGTGGAGGAAATACAAGGTTTGGCGATCTTGACGCAATCCAAAGTACAATCCAAAGCTTTGAGTTCGACAAAGGAGTGTGCGAGTAAGCTTTTTAGATTAATCACATGTGTTTGTCACTCATCGTCCGTTATAGGGACTATAAAACAATCCAGAAGTGCATGGTTGGGGTACTAGGAGAATGTAGCAAGAGTGCGCCAGCGAAACTCATGGATGATTTTTTAAATGAGATATTCAGTTCGTCGCCATGTCTCAATTTTGCAGAACTATATTGACGGAATATCACTCCTTATATTTTTTTAAAATATATGTATAATTTGTTTTGTTTTCCAATACATTGCTGGGTTATTGCTGAATAATTATTGGTAACTTAATTCGAATTTCTCATCAGCCAATTAAAACTTCGTGCTACCATTAAATAAAAATAGTGTTCTTATTTAATGACTGTAAAATCGAGCGATCACCCGTCTCAAGGGAATACAGGAAGAAATTAAAGAATCAAGAAAGTCTGGAAATTTTAATGTCGCATTCATTTATCAATTGGATAAGACCAACCCTTTAGAAACCATTCAACTCACTTTTCTACCACATAGGGATAAAATTCGGACCATTATTCAAAGACGAATGCAAAATTATCTTGGTTCATGCTCGTTTTTGACCCCAGTTCCCTTCTACGTTTTTTCAGCGAACTGCCTTGACGTATCATTCCAGAAAATGTTAGATATTACAGCGTAAGCAAATTCTTATCATAAAGTATCACCTTTTGCTGGAAAAACCAACAAATTTATGTGACCTTTACGAATTTCTTGTTTTATTAATAGCAACTAAAACAACAACAAGTTAAAAAGTAATCGTAAACGATTTACGTAAAGCGCATTTCCACTTGCATTCATTTCCTATTTGTAAGATACAACTTTTGTTAAAATTGTGAAAATCCGGCCACAAATATGAAAGATAGCGTTGCACATGTGCAATCCATTTTTGACGTGCTACTTCAATTTCAGTTTATAAGAAGAGTTTCATTTCAATGCATGCGCAAACCTAAATTTTGAAGCTAACGTTAGATTTTCCTTTGTTCCAAGTGGCTATGTATCGAATTTCATTTAAATCCCCCCATAAATAAGAAAGTTGGCACTGCGCATGCGCAAAACCAAATTTTGAAATTGGGGTTTAATTTGTTTTTATTCCAAGTGGCTGTGTACCAAATTCCATTTAAATACTTTTATAATTAAAAAAGTTTGCAATTCGGTTTATAAATGGTCGAGATGCGAAAAGGGCACTGTGAATTTTGAATCGATTCGACTCAACTTTTGTCATTGCGTATTATATGGCTAAAGCTATGCCCATATTGAATTTCATGCAATTCAGTTCATAACTAACGGAGATGTAAAAGCGATCGGACATTTATAAACGAAGTTATCGTTCACACGGACAGATAGAGGGACAGACAGACAAAGGAACAGATGGACAGACCAACAGGCAGACGACAGACAGCAATGCAAAATTATAAACGATTTCTAGGATCGTTAATAAACGGCAAAAGTGTAAAATTATTGAACATGTAAAAAACGGTTTTTTGTTTTTTTTAAGCGGTACAGAAAAAATTCCTTCCTTGGTCCAAGACTCGACACCATAACGAACCAAATAGCGAAAAAAGTAGAACAATAGCTCTTAAGATAAAAAACTAGTCTCAAAACCAGCGGACGGACGGACGGACGGACAAAGTGGCCACAATAGCGCATTTTTTTTAAATTTTTGTGGAAATGGGCTAAAAATGTTCCACGAACTACGTTCGCAGCACAAAGTTCTCGAGTTTCGAAATATGGAACAATCATGAAAGACACTAATCTAAACCATTTGCCCCTGTTGCGGAATTAGCATCAATACGAGCTGCTGTTGCTGCGCTCCCCGAAATTTCGCTCCCATGACAATTCGCGCCCAGGATAAATCGTTCCCGGAAAAAATGCATGTTGAGATGGCTCGTAGGACTATTCGCGCCTGGGCAAGTCACTCCCGGATAATTCGCGTCTGGACAACTCGCTCCCGGACAATTCGCACCCGGACAATAATGTATTTTGAGATCGGTCGTAGGACTATTCGCTCCCGCAAAATTCGCGCCCGGATAATGCTCCCGCACTTGGTTGATTTACTCCCCGGACAATTCGCTCCCGGACAATTCGCACCCGGTTGATTTGCTCCCAGGACAATTCGCGACCGTATAATTCGTTCCCGGGCAATTCGCACTCGGACAATTCACAATGCGCTCCCCGAAATTTCGCTCCCATGACAATTCGCGCCCAGGATAATTCACTCCCAGGACAATTTGTGTGCGAATAATTCGCTCCCGGACAATTCGCACCCAGGATAAATCGCTCCCGGATAAAATGCATGTTGAAATCGCTGCGTATGATAATTGGCTCACGGATAATTCGCTCCCAGAACAATGCGCTTTCGGAAAATTTACTCTCAGGACATATCGCTCCCGGAAAAAATGCGATCAAATGATTTAAGAAATATTGATGAATTAAATTAAATAGATTTTTTCACCACATCAATCTATCTATCTTCTGATGGTGGTGAGCGAGAATCTTGGTTGTATCAATATTCTGCTACCTACATAAAGCAAACAAATTGTCTGCTTGCTGGTTATTCGACAGCGACTATCGGCCACATAAAATACAAAAATATGACAAGAAATTACCAAAAATAGAATTGATACATAAAGTAATTGGTAGCTATCCATCTTATAACGTAATACATAAAGCACTGCCGCAGTCGCTTCCTGGAGCGAATTATCCGGGCGCGAATTCGCGATTCAGATTAACAGTGAGACCTCTGGTGGCAGCACATTATAATTAAAATCTATATTGTAGTTTTTAAGGCTGTAAAAGTAAATACACTTGCACAAATTTCATTTGCAATCAATAATTACATCTTAAAGTGCAAGGTTACTTTCAAGAATTTTAAATAATGATCAGTGCAATTATGCAACCAACAATAAGGACAATTTAAGACACCGTCGTCTGACGCATAATAGTTCAAAAGTCTTTAATTGTGAACAGTGCAATTACACAACGAAAAATAGGAGATATATACGTCACACTCCGCTTTGAATAACTTTCTACCACTTCTATCAGTGTAATTACGGCACAATTAATAACGTTGGCTTAAAGCGTCACCTTTCAAACCTTCTCAAAAATTTGATTTGTGATCAGTGTAATTGCGCTACTCACGAGTCACGGTAAGCATAACTTAAAGCGGCATATCCATCATTCAAGTATGGTACGTGCAGTCTGTGCGATTAGGTTATTGTTTAAATTGTGGTCAGTATAATTATGCCACGAATAGTAAGGCTATTTTAAAGCATTATCCACGTAAGGGAATGTCGGCGAGTTGTTGTACAATTGTACGAGTGCGCTAGAAATTGAATGATAAATTGTAACTAGAAAATTAAGTTAATGGCGGGTTCAAGCTGTTTCAAACCAGCCTCGAGTTCATATGAAAACGACCTTTCAGGTAGGATAAGACTAAGGGGTTATATTTTCAATCCGAATTTCACTTAAAAACCTGTTAAAAGGGGTTAAGACCGTGAGCTCTAAAATTAAAGTTTTCAAATTTTAGATTTTAAGGATGATGCACTGGCTGCGAACTAAGAGGCGCAACTTTAAATTTGCAGCCTCCTTGTACCAAGCCCGGCACTTGAACTTGTAAATTTCAGGCTTAATTCTTATTTTGGTTTCAAGCTTTCTGGTTTTTGGGATTACTTTTCATTTAGGTTGCATATTTCAAACTTTCAACTTTTTTTAAAATTTCAAATAAAAGCCATATTTTGACGAGGGGTGGGGGCGAAATATATACCGTAGCGAATTTTCTACTTTGGCCCTATTTAAGACTTCTCTTTAAACAACAATATCGCTCAATCTACTGCCATTTTTGTGCTTTTTTTAGAATTGAAATTAATTGACTTATTGGAAAACAGCAATTATTGAAAATTCAAGGCAGAAATTCGTAATTAAGAGCTGGGGAATTACCTTTTATGATCGTAGTGTCAAGTAGGGTCGGTCTATAATGGAAATTCCATTTCATTAAATAATTGTACTGCTTGGGCCATAGGAAATTGGTTGCAAATGTAACCAAGAAGTTTATTGGTCAAACATACAAGTTATACAGTACATAAATCGGTTATTTGTAAGGAAAGGGATGCGATTCAATCAGCTGAGTTCTGCCAGATCCAGACATGGCGATGAACTGTACAGTTCATTTAGAAAGGCATCGATGACTTTCGCTGGTGCGCTCTTCTTACATTCTCCTAGTGTTTTGACTATGCACTCCTGAATTCTTGTATAGTCCCTATAAAAACCGACGAGTGACAAAGACGCGATTAACGTACAAAGCTTACTCGCACACTTCTTTCGTGAAGTTAAAGTTTTGCAATGTGTTAACATCGCCAAAAGCCACATTCCCTCCACATTCTGTCACAGCCTTATCCTTGCTCATTACACACTCGATGCCATCTTCTGCTAAAAATACTGCAACGCAACACCTAATAAAGTACTGTGTTTTTAGAAGAAATCTACTTACAAGCAATTCGTGCCCCATCATTTTCACAGGCAAATTTAATCGCTTTCTCGGCGATACTCCGGACCTGTTGAAGCGTGAGCCCGGTTTCGGGCCCACTGCATTTCATTGCTGCATCTGACACTTTATGTACGTGATGGACCAGCGGGTCACTTAAGAGACAGTAGTCCTTAAAAACCGCACTTAAATTTCCAGCCTTTTTCGCTTCTTTAACATCCCGTTCAAATTCCTTGAAGTTACCATTATGAAACTCGTTCGCTTCCGACCAGACATTCTGTAAAACCGCCTTTTAATGAACGAATTAAAGAAATGGCCATTTACTTTCAAGTTCTCGAAGGCTCCGACACCCCCGTTTCGGTCACAAGCGTCTTTAATTGCTTTTTCAATTTCCTCTATGATGCCAGTGATAATTGCCACGATTAGTTCCTCGATGCCTTCCAGTATCGGATTTACGGTTTGACCCTCGTTTTGGCCCGAAGAGAGCGCTGAAAATAGTCATTGTGAGATTTCCCAGTTCTTGTGTAGTCGTGTTAAGATGGGCACCTACCGACCAGTAAAAGCAGCCCGAAAATCACCTTCATAGCTCGCTAGCACTGACAGAAAAGCAGAGCATTGGATGTAGCAATAATAATGGTGTCTATCGATTAGCAATAACTAGGTTTTATAATAATCAATATGTTCAGGGTCAGATAAGCCATTAGGTTATCTGTTTTGCCCCATGCACCCCTGGATACATTCAATATCTACGAATCGAAACAATTACCGAAATTCACCTTTGATTGCAAACGAGCACACATCTACTAAGCAACTATTTACCAACAAAAGAAAAGCCATTTATGCTCGCATTTATGTATAGCGTTTAAAAGTCGTTCCCAGATTATTAAATTTTTCATTTTCCGTATACAGGCACCGCCCCGCTGCCTGTATTCCGAGTTATTACGGAACTTACAAACATTAAATGAAAAGGAAAATTGTACATGAGAGTACCCGTGTGAAAGCAGCAACCATATCCCTTTCATATCTTTTTTTCCTGCGGCCCCCTACATTTGGACCACCACATTCGTTATAATTTCCCGCATACATAAATCTTGCGTTCTTCACCACCTTCTGGGCATTTCTGCAAATATTTCCCTTCTGGGGTTTTCCCAATTAACTCTCTATACTTGTACTCTATTTATTAATTCTTTCCCTCTACGTTATAATTACTCGCAAAATTAAATCTTGTGTTCTTCACCACTTTCTGGGCATTTCCGCCAATATTTCCCTTCTGTGGTTTTCCCAATTAACTCCTTACACTTGTCCTACATTTGTCAATGCTCTCCCTCTACGTTATAATTTCTCGCAACGCCCTCTGGGCATTTCTGCAAATATTTCCCTTCTGTGGTTTTCCCAATTAACTCCTTATACTTGTATTCTACTTTTTAATTCTTTCCCCCTACGTCATAATTTCTCGCAAAATTAAATCTTGTGTTCTTCACCACCTTCTGGGCATTTCTGCAAATATTTCCCTTCCGTGGTTTTCCCAATTAACTCTCTATACTTTTCCCTCCATTGTTCAATTATTTCCCTCTTCGTTATAATTTCTCGCAAAATTAAATCTTGTGTTCTTTACCACCTTCTGGGCATTTCTGCAAATATTTGCCTTTGGGGGTTTTTATTATATCTATATCTTGGACATAGAGCAGGCCGAAATGGTTCTTCAAGGCCAAAGCCGATTGCAAAAAGAAACGTAAGCCTTCATTTCAAACATTCTCTCTCCGAAAATGCGTTTCCATAAAACTATACCAAGGCTTGATTTCAGGTCTAAAACATCAATTGCTATGGAGCTTCAGATCGTCAGTCTTTTTCATGATAGGTCGAATATCTCGAAACTGAGCTAAATATAGTTCGAGGAACTGTTTTCGTTCTGTAGTAAATAAATCAGGAAACTCGTAAAGGTCATATAAATTTGTGAATTTTTCCAGCAAAAGGCGATACTTTTTGATAAGAATTTGTTTACGTCTGCAAAATCTAAAAATTTCTGTTAGGAAACGGAGATAAGAACTGAGGTTAAAAGCGAGCATGAACTCAGATACTTTTGAGAACTGGGTGCAGGTGAGTGTAACTAAGGTCAAGAAAGCGGATTGTTTTGAACAAAAATTGCCCTCGTACTTAAACCTATCTATTTCGTGGAACTAACAGGACAGGACTAGACTTTGTCAAGGGAACTTTGTCTAAATTAGTCTGTAGAATGTGGTAGAAAACGTAGAGATTTCCAGGGATTTTGAAGGATTTGGTGTTATTCAATTGAGGATCTGGTGACATTGTCATACAGCGAGGAACTGTATACAGTTTCCGATCGTTCATCCTCCAGTTTATGAATGCATCTGTAAGACTAGAAAACTGATCAATGAATGGTACACGTATGGCACAGTATTTTTGAATGACCACATTTAAATTTCCCGCTTTTCTTGATTCTTCAACTTCTTCCTGTAGTCCCTTGAGATTGGCCCCATACAAATTGCTCGATTGGGATAAAGCACTCTGTTACATGGAGTTTCCAAATTGGCTCGAGCAATGAATCTATGCACGAGACAGAATAATTTCCAAGATTCAATGCCGGGAATATACAATATAGATTGTTAAAATTGTACCCAAGCAATTTATTGGGCAAACAAGGAGATTATACAAATAGTTATCCGGCGATTCGGTCAGTTTAGTTCTATAAAACTGAGACATGGCGACGAACTGTATATTTCATTTAAAAAATCGTCGATGAGTTTCGCTGGCGCACTCTTGTTACATTCTCCTAGTGCTTCTACCATGCACTCCTGGATTCTTTTATAGTTCCTATGACGCAGGATGAGCGACAAAAGTGATTAATGCAAAAAGCTTACTCGCACACTCCTTGGTTGAACTCAAAGGTTTGGATTGTGTCAAGATCGCCAAAAGTTGTATTCCCTCCACAATTTAACAGGGCAGTATCCTTGCTCATCACACAATCGATGCCATCTTCCGCTACAAATACTTCAACGCGACACCTACTAAAGTACTGAAGAAGAAATCTACTTACCAGCAATCCGCACTCCATTATTCTCGCAAGCAAAGTTGATGGCTCTCTCGGCCATATTTCGAAAATGTTGAAGCTTGGGTCTGTTTTCTAGCTCGCTGCATTTTATTGCTCCATCTGAGAGCCTATGTATGTGATGGATCAGTGGAACACTTAAGCGACAGTAATTCTTAAACACTGCACTTAAGTTTCCGACTTTTTTCGCTTCTTTAACCTCCTGCTGAAATCCATTGAAATGGCTGTTATAAAAATCGTTCGCTTCAGACCAGACTTTCTAAGAGACCGCCTTTTAATGTGCAAATTAGCCATGTGTATTTACGGTTAGGTTCTCGTAGGCACCAGAACCACCATTTTGGTCACAACTATCTTTAATCGCTTTTTGAATTTGTTCCACGATGGCTTTAATAGCTTCTGCTAGTAGTTTCACGATTCCTTCCACTATCGCAGTGAAGAGTTCACCGACAGTTAAAATGTTATCTTGACCCGAAGTGAGCGCTGAAAATACTAAGAGGTTTTCCCAGTGACGTCAATTTGCAGGTGAACTCTTAATTCTGATCATGCGGAGATTAGAAAAATGTACACTTACCGACCAGTAAAAGTAGCCCGAAAATTACTTTCATGGTTGACTGAGAAACAGAGTTTGGATATCTTGCGTAGGTGTTACTGAATGATAGCAGGGAGCGTTTTGCTCGGACTTTGAGACTTTGAGATTAAAATAACTGCGCATGTGCAAAATCCGAAAGGTCGACCGAGAGATATTTTTCGCATTTGCGTGGTGATCCCCTGAAAATTTCCAGAAAAATTCTCTTCCAAATGTTTCATCGTTTATCTGTTCCGTAAAGTTCGCCACATATTATTCCAATTGTTTGACTTTTTTCCGATGGAAGTTTGCCGCCAGGCTTTAGAATATTTCTCCTGCGGTCCCGTAATATTTGAGTCCAACCCTCCCCTCTCAGAGTTTCGCTCGCTAGCTCGCCTTTAAAGAGTTTTATTTACCAAGGAAGAGGAGGAAGAGAGGGGTTTGCTATATAAGTAAATCGAAATATGATTTAGGACAGTTCCAATTTCGATGCCGAAGTAATAAATAGTTCCCGCTGTTATAAATTGTGTATATGTGAGTAATAAATAATATTCTGTTATAAATTAATTACAGAGCTGGGCAGAATACTTTCAAAAAGTATTTGAATACTAAATAGTAAATACTTTACACAAATCAAAGGTATTTGAATACTAAATACTTTTACGTCCAGCACAAGCGAATAGTAGATACAAATACATTGAAAAGTATTCAAATACTTTAGAATGTATTCGAATACTTTCAAAGGTATTCGAATACTTTCAAAAGTGTAGTCGATTTTTGGTAAAAAAGGAAGGTTATACACTGCCTTTTTTTGAGGCCCGCAAAAAAAATTGTCTCAGATCGACCCGGAAAAAAATTTTCTTATAGAATGTGGCCTGTAGAATCCATAATTTCAAACAGTTCCAAGATTGGGCTACTAGTTCAAAAGTTACAGCCCTTTGAATTTTCTTTCGAAATTGGTTTGTAGTCCATAACTTTTGATTGAGAAGTCTAATCGAAAAAGTACGAATTGTTTTGGATTCTACGCACCAAAATTAATAAGAAAAAGTCTTTTCCCGAGAAATTTTGGTGTAGTCGATTTTTGGTAAAAAAGGAAGGTTGTACACTGCCTTTTTTTGAGGCCCGCAAAAAAAATTGTCTCAGATCGACCCGGAAAAAAAATTTTCTTATAGAATGTGGCCTGTAGAATCCATAATTTCAAACAGTTCCAAGATTGGGCTACTATAGTTCAAAAGTTACAGCCCTTTGAATTTTCTTTCGAAATTGGTTTCTAGTCTATAACTTTTGATTGAGAAGTCTGATCGAAAAAGTACGAATTGTTTTGGATTCTACGCACAAAAATTAATAAGAAAAAGTGTTTTCCCGAGAAATTTTGATGCAGTCGATTTTTGGTAAAAAAGGAAGGTTACACTGCCTTTTTTTGAGGCCCTCAAAAAAAATTGTCTCAGATCGACCCGGAAAAAAATTTTTCTTATAGAATGTGCCCTGTAGAATCCATAATTTCAAACAGTTCCAAGATTGGGCTACTAGTTCAAAAGTTACAGCCCTTTGAATTTTCTTTCGAAATTGGTTTCTAGGCTATAACTTTTGATTGAGAAGTCTGATCGAAAAAGTACGAATTGTTTTGGATTCTACGCACCAAAATTAATAAGAAAAAGTGTTTTTCCCGAGAAATTTTGGTGTAGTCGATTTTTGGTAAAAAAGGAAGGTTATACACTGCCTTTTTTTGAGGCCCGAAAAAAAATTGTCTCAGATCGACCCGGAAAAAAAATTTTCTTATAGAATGTGGCCTGTAGAATCCATAATTTCAAACAGTTCCAAGATTGGGCTACTAGTTCAAAAGTTACAGCCCTTTGAATTTTCTTTCGAAATTGGTTTCTAGTCTATAACTTTTGATTGAGAAGTCTGATCGAAAAAGTACGAATTGTTTTGGATTCTACGCACCAAAATTAATAAGAAAAGTGTTTTCCCGAGAAATTTTGGTGTAGTCGATTTTTGGTAAAAAAGGAAGGTTATACACTGCCTTTTTTTGAGGCCCGAAAAAAAAATTGCCTCAGATCGACCGGCAAAAAAAATTTCTTATAGAATGTGGCATGTAGAATCCATAATTTCAAACAGTTCCAAGATTGGGCTACTAGTTCAAAAGTTACAGCCCTTTGAATTTTCTTTCGAAATTGGTTTCTAGTCTAAAACTTTTGATTGAGAAGTCTGATCGAAAAAGTACGAATTGTTTTGGATTCTACGCACCAAAATTAATAAGAAAAAGTGTTTTCCCGAGAAATGTTGGTGTAGTTGATTTTTGGTAAAAAAAAAGGAAGGTTAAGTATTCAGATACTTTGCGAAGTATTCGAATACTAAATATTTGTGAAAGTATTTGAGTAACAAATACAAATACTGCTTCCATAAAAGTATTTAATTACAAAGTATTTGAATACTTTAAAGGATTTGAATACTAAAAAGTATTTACAAAATCGAATACTGCCCAGCTCTGATTAATTAAATAAATAAGCAATCTTTGTCAGATTAAGGTGCTTAAGGTAGACATTTCGATGTGTGTACATTATGTCTCAATACAATGGTTTGCATAATTTTGCGTATTAAAAAAAATTATGCCTTTACAATTAAATGATCGAAGCTCTCCACGCCTCCATTTTGTTCACAGGTCGTTTTAATCGCTTCCACAATTTCTTTCAGGATGTCTTTGATCAAATCGTCTAAAATTTCACTAGCGCATTGTCGTTTCCCGACGTAATCGCTGGAAAAATAAGTAGATATTGTGATCGTTTCTGATTAAAACGACACTTACCAATAATTAATAAAAACAGCCCAAAAATCACCTTCAAAATTTAAATTCTATCGATACCAAAATAAAGTCTACACTATTCAGTGATTTTGTGATCAAACTGGAGGGGGAATCGCAGGTGGTTCGCATTACTTTAGATATTGAGTTGGTTTCGACCTAACCTCTTCGATTACAATTTTTAGAGGCAAGGTTCTCTAGAGTATACTTTTCTCGGGGCAGAGTTCAGCTGATCTAAACCATTTGGCGGTAGTTGATGGTTTCTGATAAACACATCAGAACAGCTGTGTACTGTTAGATTCTTTGGAGTTTCAAGTGGTGTGTTTCCATTGGTCATAGCAAACTTAAGATCGTGGTCTTACAAAAACATCGAAAACTGTACCTACTCCAATGCGTAAAATTAGAATCTAACCACTGCGATTTCGTAATTTGATATCAAAGGAATAACCTCCCAAATAGACAAAGTAATTTATTTATAATTCTATCACTATAATAATTGCATTTCAGCAAACTGCGAACTACGCCAAATTAGGACATGGAGACAAGCTGTAAATGTGGTTGAATAGAGCATCGATTATCTCTGATGGCATATCCTTTTTGCACGATGACATTGATTTCACGACACAGGCTTGGAACTCTTTGACTTCACTACGAAAAAAAAAATCATGTTCCATACTCTCACCTTGAATTGGGCAAAACTTACTCGCATTCCTGCTTTTGAATGGAAAGCTTCGGTATTTTGTTCTTTTGAATTTTATCACCGACTGCGCCCTCTGCGCATTTCTCCAACTCGCTGGACTTTTCGCTCAGACATGCGAAGCCATCTTCCGCGACGAACACTTGAAAGACCTGTTAGTACTGCATCGAAACTGATGTGAAAAACACTTACGTGCTACTCGCTCCCCGTCTTTGTCGCAGGCAAAAGTCATCAGACTTTCAGTGATGTTTGCGGCAAGTTTTATAGACGACCTGTCTTCCTCTACAACACAATTGATACCGGCATCAATCAACTTGTGGACTTTCTCGAGGGATTTGGAACGTAGCTGGCAGTACTTCTTGATGACATCATCCAGTTCTCCTGTTTTGCTCGAGTCCTCCACTTCTTGTGCAATTTGCTTTTGGTCGAAGTTAGTCTGGATGAATGCTGTCATATCGTTGATGGCAGTCTGTAATTGTCATTGAGTAGATTGTTCCAAAGACGCGGCAATCTCCACCTTACCACTAACTTATCGTAAGTACCCTTGCCGCCGTTGGTATCGCATTCTTCTTTAATCGCACTTGTAATCTCGTCGACATCGAAGAGCTTTGGAAATTTGTCCAATGTGGCGTCGTCACCCCAAGCAAATGCTACAAAGTGACGTTTTCACAAGTTCCCTCGACTTTTTTGGCGACTTACCTACGAGGAAAAGCACCGGAACGATGTACTTCATGGCTGATGTGGCGAGAAACACTCGAATAGTTTACCTCCCAACCGCAGTACCGCCTTAAATATCTCCAATTATCTTAATTAAATGATAACCGAGAGATCAAAAGTCATTTACTCATTACCCAACATTCTAATCGTCGCTTTAATTGATATAAGGTCAGACGCCCACGGGCGGCGTTAGAACACACGAAAGGTACATGAGGGACAAATTGGTGTAATAGCGTTGGAGTTGTTATGTTGGTCAACTTCCCGACTTCTTGAAGATGAACAGGTTAAATTGTAGGTCACCCAAATTTGTTTACCCAACTCGATTTTACAAGAAACCGAGATAATGAGTGTTTTCGTGTTTAGTCTGAAGTATTTACAATTATTGGTCAAGGCTGTGTCATGCAAAATAAGTGAGATAAGGGAGACAGGTTAGAAACAGAACAGGGAAGTAACCCAAAAGTAACTTATCCCTGGTGTTTCAACTTCCGATTTTAAGCGTTGAGTTGGCTTTAGTTAGGCTGCTTTGAATTTCTTCGTTTCAGAGTTGCAAGGCTTCAATGGCTTGGATATGAAATTATAATAATACCTACCCTTCCAAGTGCCAGATTTAAAAGGGAGGCCCTAGCTTAGGACCAAGAGCTCTAGGTTTAAATGTTCAGGCTTCAAACTTCAGCTGAAGCTTAATATTGACTCGGCTGGGACAATAAGCGATTGGAGTTCTTCGAAATTGTGTTGCATCATTCGTTGTAAATGAACCTTCTTAGATTTTACTCCGGTTCCCCACAGGCCACCGAAATGTGGCAAGAATGAAGTAAGCTCAGTATGGATATCAACTAAGTTATTTACATAAAAGTCAGGAAAATGATACATTACCGGCGTGGAAATATTGAAGTGCGAGGGCCCTTTAGGGCCGAGTACTTTAATTTTCGAGTCAGTAATGTTATTTTATTGACGAGTTTTGCATTAAATTTTACCCAAAATCGTATTTTATTATAAAATTTCAATTTTTATATAGAACTTTTGATTAAGCTCAATCTGTCAGTGATAACAGGAGTCATTATGGACATTTGAAAATGTCACAAATGCGGCCGATAAAGTGATAAGCGGCACGGAACGTAGTCTGCTCTGCCTCTGTCATGGTAACTAAAATTTCCTGACAGATAGTAGGCATGCAAATGAAGGTTTCAGGGCGATTTTGGGTAAACTCTATTACAAAACTTGTCAGTAAAATGACACTACTTGACTGGGAAAAAGAGACCTTCGTGCTTCAATATTTCCTCACCAGTAATGTGTCATTTTCCTGAATGTACATTCCATATTTTGCTGATACTAACACTTTCTAGAACCGAAGCTTATCGTTACCTCTCCGGAAATTATTAATTGCACTCACACAGGATATGCTCCTAAAAAACTCTACTTCTATTTCCTCTGTTTGGTGAAAGCTTCTGGAAACTAATTCTATCCGGAGCACTTACCTGGGAATTGATTTGCAGATATCTTCTACTGAAGTATAGGGCGACCTTCAGATCTCAAATTCATCCTAATCAAAATGAGAAATGTACTGTTTAATGTTTTACTGCATCACTTTCCCTCGAATGGATGGTATCAGAAGTCAGCTGTGTTACGTAGCTTCTCCAAAAATGCATTTTGAACCATGCCGAAATCGTAGTTTTGCAACTTTACTTAATTTATTCTACATCCCACAATAGGAATTAAATGGATCACCCACTACATTCACTTAATGTTTCTATGCAATTAATCTGAATTTTTGTTGTCCAATTTCTGAATACCTCTTGAATTAATCATGATTCCTTCTACCGTCCTCTTTCGGTCCAATTAAATTTCTGTCGCAACTAATCTTTAATTGCACTTCAATTTTTTTTAACATAAACATAGGAATCTTAAATGTCAGATGGTCATTTTTACCCTACAAAAGGTGGTGTAGTAGTAATTAGCTTCCTAGCATGAGCTAGACATCAAATGTCGACATTTTATATGATTTTAAGCAACTTTCAAAGAAAAAAAAATTCAAAAAAATAAATAAAAGCAATAGATAAACGTACAATTTTCAGGAGGGAATCTGACTCATATTCAATCGGCTCACGAATGTTTGAGATCGATTCGTTTTTTAGTTTGACGGGGAACATACAAATGAACACACAAACGGAGCATGTAAGGGGAGTTTTCAAAATAGTGTTTCAAAAATTTGCACACACAATATTCGAGTGCCGCTCCATACTGTGTACGTTCTTAGTACAATGTGGAATTAATTGTATCAGTAACACTTTCAAAACAGGGTTTTCTACTTGGGTCATATTCTCCTGATTCCCTTCCCCTTGAAGGTTTGTTCTTTTCAAATATCGCAAAAAAACATAGGCATTGTATTTGAAAAACAAAAGTTGCATCGATTTTCGGTGACACTGATGCTGGAAGTTTGAATATGCGATCTAATGTCACCTATAAAATTACATTTGACAAATTTTGCATATTTCACCAAATGAAAGAAATATTGAGGTGGCCCTCTTATTTCAAACGCATTGTATACAGGCTGTTTCACGGAAACCGTAATCTAAAAGCGTTGAGTGAAATGCTAAAAGTATTCAGACTCCCATTAATAATTTAAATGTGAACATTTGCATAGGAACATAGTTTTTTATGATTTATCGAAGGAAAATAAAAAATATTCATTTCACTTCCGGTTTTGCCGGATGTGGATAGCAACTTTCATATTTTAAATAGAACACCCTATATTTTATTGCATTTTCGAAATCTACATGAAAATCTACGTCATTTGATTGACATTTCCCTATACACAGCACCAAAGGTTTTCAAGTTATTCAAGATTTTTCAAAATTTTTGACGTTTCACTGCTTTTCTTTAGAGCCCTGTACTCATGGCTCCGTTGAGTTGAATTTCAAAGTCAAGTTCCAAAATCAACAATACTGACGTGATGCTATACGTGCGAATGATTTAATTTTTGATCGCCCTTTAACAGGGCGTTTTAAAATTAATGGTCAAGTTTAAAACTTCGAACCTTAAAAAGTTGAGTTTTTCAAAAGAAACCCACTTTATTTTTTTGCACTTTCAAAATGTCTTCCTAAGAAAGTTATGCATATAACGGTCATAATTTTAGAAAATCTTAAATAAAACAAAACCATAATAGATAGGTATAAGCATTGAATTTATAGATAGTTATAAATTCAATGGTATAAAGAATTAATAATTGATCGATGTAGAATTTTTTTGAAAGTGCAGGTTTCATTTGAAAAAAAAACAACTTTTTAAGGTTGGAAGTTATGAAACTTGACCATTATATTAAAACACCCCGTAGAAGGGTAATCAAAATTTAAATTGCTCGTATATGTAGCATCACGTCAGTAATGTTGATTTTGGAAGACTTTTTGAAATTCAAGTTAAGAGAGCCATAGGTACGGGGCGCTGCAGAAAAGCAGTCAACGTCAAAAATTTAATGCTAGGAATATTTTCTTTCGATAGATCATGAAAAACTATGTGGGTATGCGACGTTTCAGATTTAAATTATTAATAGAAGTGTATAGTATATTGAAAGACAAGTGTTACAATGCGACCTATTGTAATACGACTATCTTGTGGCACGAGTGGCGACGCGAGCGTAGCCACGAGTGTCCGCAAGATAGGAGTATTACAATAAAGCATTGTAACACGCGTTTTTCATACTATTTTTAGCGCATTTCCACAAAAATTTAAAAAAAATGCGCTATTGTGGCCACTTTGTCCGTCCGTCCGTCCGTCCGTCCGCTCGTTTTGCGACGCTACTAGTTCTTTATCTTAAGAGCTATTGTTCTACTTTTTTTCGCTATTTGGTTCGTTATGGTGTCGAGTCTTGTACCAAGGAAGGAATTTTTTCTGTACCGCTTACAAAAAAAGTTATTGTAAAAAAAACAAAAAAACCGTTTTTTACATGTTCCATAATTTTACACTTTTGCCGTTTATTAACGATCCTAGAGATCGTTTATAATTTTGCATTGCTATCTGTCGTTTGCCTGTTGGTCTGTCCGTCTGTTCCTTTGTCTGTCTGTTCATCTATCTGTCCGTGTGAACCATAACTTTGTTTAGAAATGTTCGATCGCTTTTACATCTCCGTTAGTTATGAACTGAATTGCATGAGATTCAATATGGGCATAGCTTTAGCCATATAATACGCAACGCCAAAAGTTGAATCGAATCGATTCAAAATTCACAGTGCCCTTTTCGCATCTCGACCATTTATAAACCGAATTGCAAAATTTTTTACTTATAAAAGCATTTGAATGAAATTTGATACATAGGCACTTGGAATAAAGGAAAATCTAGCGCCAGTTTCAAAATTTTATTTTGCGCTTGCGCAATGCCAACTTTTTTATCTATGGAAGCATTTAAGTGAAATTTGATATTTAGGCGCTTGGAACAAAGGAAAATCTAACATTAGTTTCAAAATTTAGGTTTGCGCATGCGCAGTTCCAACTTTCTTATTTAGAAAAGCATTGAAATCAAATTCTTCTCATAAACTGACATTGAAGTAGCACGACAAAATTGGATTGCCCATGTGCAACGCTATCTTTCATATTTGTGGCCGGATTTTTACGATTTTATAGAAGTTGCATCTTACAAATGGGAAATGAATGCAAGTGGAAATGCGCTTTATGTAAAACGTTTACGATTACTTTTTAACTTGTTTCTATTTCGGTGTTTTAATTTAATTAAAAAAATCATTATCAGAAACTATAGGGAACATTAGAACTAACATGTTTTATGTTGGGAACACTTTTTATCCCGTTAAGTTTTAGGTTGGCAGCGTAGTAAGACTGACATTTTGAAGTTCAAACATGGAAGTACCCAACGAAGTACCTACTTGTACTAACTAGTAACTGCCAACTTAAGAGATGAGTTACCAAAAAAAAACGACTATAATCACTGTCTTTGTACAACTGTTTTCGGCCGAAAACAGTTGTACAAAATCATCATTGTGACACCGAAATAGAAAGTAATTTTTTTAAGTAATTGATTACTTCAACAATTTGCCTGGGAAACATCGGACTACCCAAGTCGGACCACTAATCCAAACCTCAGAATTAATTGCAGAATCGGGAGAATCCACTTCTCTTGCAATCAGGTCGGCAGGTTTTTCTTATCCAGACAATACCGCCATGTGGCATTATTATTAACGATCCTCGAGAGTTTATAATTTTGTATTGCTGTTCGTCTGTCCGTGTGCACGATAACTTTGGGTAGAAACGTCCGATCGCTTTGAAAATTAATACATATGTTCTTCAGGATAGAAGAAAGGTCGCTAATGTTTTTCGGGACCAAAAAGTTACAGCCCAAAAACTGCATAAACCTCCAAAAAAGGGTTTCTTTTATAATTTTTGTTGCAAAGAACATATAAATGCCCGGTTTCCTGTGTTAGTAACTATTCCTTAAACCTCAGGTAACTTTGCAGATGAATAAACAAAATAACTTTTTGCACAATTTTTTTATGTGTTAAAATATTTAAATGAAATTTTGTATGTAGGCAAATAAAAGTAAAACATGCCGAATCAAAATTTGTTTTACGAAATGGGACAGAATCACTCCCTTAGGGCGTGCTGTAAAAATGATGTATTTGCGAAGATCTCGAGGATCGTTCGGTATTCAGTTGTATCGGATTTTTTTAATTTGTAAATCTCTAAAACACGTAAGGTTCTCGTTCTTTATTTACTCCTTTAATCCAATAAAAGATTATCTTGAAATCAGACTATAGAATCACATCTTTTACGTTAAGTTAATGTTATGTAGTAAATAATTGAAGATTTGCAGAATCGCAGAGCTGCAGTAAGTTCCGACTTCGGTAAAGCGAATAATTTTTCATTTCTCCATGGAAAGGGTTGTGAGGCACAGATCTCATTGCGTCTCATTATAAATCCTCTGGAAAACCTACGAATGTTGTAAAAGATATTGGGATTCATTTAACAGGCTTTCCAGAGCCAACAGCTTTACGGATATAATCCCCAGGAATCGAAGAATCGGTAGAATCCAACGAGCTAAAAATTCTAGGATCCATAGAATTTGAAAAATCGGAAGAATTTAAAGGAGCGGAATAATGCACGGAATTTAAAGAATTCAAAGAAGAATTTAAGGCGCACTTGAGTTCAAAATTAAAGGAACTCATTTCTTATTTCAACTTTCAAAAATCCGAAGCGTGGAAAGAATCCCCGAAGAATTTGAACAATACGAAAAACCGAAAGAAGGAACAGATACTGAACAGTTTGAAGAGTATTAAGAATATAAAAAAAATACTTATGGATTTGAAGAAACCGGAAGTCTAAAAATCTGAAGAATATTTAAAAAATTTGAAGAAGCTGTCAAGAAGAGTCATAAAATTTTGAGGTATATGAAAAATCGAAACGATTGGGAGAAACTGAAGAATTCGACGATTTTAAGAGACTAAAGAAACGAGCAATTTGAATGAGGGATTGAAAACCGATTCAGAAATTCGAATAACTATACGTCCAATCAAACGAAATAACCTGAAGCAATTGACAGAACGAAGAAATTGAAGAAAATTTGATAATTGATTTGCAGTTACTGTGATTACTTGAAAATTTATTGCTTGATTAGCGATTATTGAATAATCGAGAAATCAACCTTCTAAAAATCACTGATTATCGCTTATTATTTAAACTTAAGCACAAACAACTTTCTTATTTGTCAAAGGGGTTTGATATAATTAGATTATTAATGAAACTTTAGATTATTATTAGATGTCACTACTTTCTCCTACAATATCGATATAGTTAGCTAGCTATAAATTGGCTACGTGCCGTTATCTTAAACTTCATTGGCAATTACTATCAGAAAAGTACTTCAAGTAGCACACCGCCACGCCTCGCAAGTGAAAATGTTGCGTGTTCATCACCCATGCAGAAAGGGAAAAAAATCGAGATCGCGAATTAGAAACGCTTATAAGTTTAAGTCACGATTCACAAGAATATCAATCTATTTATTTACTGCTACTCGCCTAGAACACTCACTTTGTCAGATCTCGAGTCATTTCACGACCACGCCTCGTCCTTTTTTTTCGTATAATTGAATAGAAACGTTGCCTCGGAACGCGATCCAGTAAATGATAGCCCCATTAATTATACTACTTCATCTGTTAACCGTGCGAATGTTTCAAATCCGGATTAAGTTTCCTGAATGGGCTGAAATGGTATAACCCCCGAAATTCCTCTTTGAGATCACAAAGTTTCCGGTTGCGCGCCGGAGGACAGAAAAACGAATCCTTTAATCAGATATCGTTTACGAAAGGAGAATTAATGCGACTTCACCGCCTGAATTTGGGCTTACGAAAATTTTTAATATCGATTAGTGTCATAAATATTGAATTTGAATCAAAACAAAATGACTGACAGCCATTTTGCGAAAAAAAACTATTTTTATTACAGAAAATTATATGGGGAAATAATATGTGATGGTTACCAGCCCATGTTGCGTATTAAGGTCAAATGTCGTCGATTGTAAGTGTTTACGGCGAAAATGCATCAATAATTGATATCCTAATTAGTTGTAATCAAAACAACTACTACTTCTGGATACAAAGTACAAAATTATATCAGATCAGTAATCCCAATACGAGTTCAAGTATGTGCTAATCATTCTTCATAGCGTAACTAAATTAAGGTGACTCGTAAAGAATGCGTTAAATAAGTGTAAGTGGGCCCTTTTTCATTCTTCCAATGGATAATCTCGTCACAATTAGTTTTTGATTCCTTCCCATAATGAATTGTGTAATTTGAAGAAAAAATTCATACTGGCCTCTAACGAAGCATTTCAATACGCTTCGCTGCCGCATGGATCGGAATTAAAATTGTGCGATGCGATAAAATCAATCTATTTCGAAGATTGATATTTTGGTTCTCATCGTAATTGAGTCTTTGTTATTTTAATGACTATTTATATTGTCTGTAGATGTGTCAATCAATTTATCAACGGTTTTAATTCATTTAAGCAGCGTAAAAGGAAAGCGTTCATAAATATTCATACAGGATTTAGTCTCCTGTTGCTTTCTTATTTTAATATTTTCTCATGCTGCGTGAATTTCATCCATATGGTATAGGCGCGAGTTACTAAATTTTGTTTTTTTTTCAGCCTAAAGTCAAGTTTTGGTTTGGAACGGGCGGTGCTGGAGTTTGTATCAGTAGGGCTTTAGCTTTGAAAATGATGCCGGCCGCTGGGTAAGTCGTATTTTGTGTTCCTTTACACCTATGTTTTAAAATTCTGTCTACAAATAATTGTTTATTGTTCTGTTTTGCCTTTGTCATTGTTTAGTAAACGGTTTCAAATCAATATAGACAACGCGCGACAAACACAGACCGACGAACAGAAAGTCCAAATGACCATATCTATTACTGAAAACAGAATTGGAAAATTCGAAACCGTTCACGAGTTATCACGTACACAGACGACGGACAGAAAGTCCAAAATCATGAACGAGCTCTGGGTCGCTCGTTAATAAAGCATGTAGATAATTAAACCAAGAATCCATATTAAAATGGGGTTGATGTGAATCAATGAAGTAAATCGGAGATATTGGTAACTCCATTGAAGCATGTAAATGATCTACATTTGTTGTAACTTTCGTAATACAGTGAACATTTTTATTTCGTTGATAGATTATGATTAAATAATGTATAAACAACCCTTAAACTGCCCTTGAATAATAAATTTCCGTATGCATTAAGCTTTCCAAATATTTTAAGCAATTCAAACTATAACTTACTCTCAATACGCGGAAACATTACTACCTAGAGAATCCTTTGGTGACAGCAATAATAGCAGAAGCGTGCAAAATTAAGGAGAGGGGTTCTGAGGTGGTTTTTTATTGGGCGAAAGCACACGTTGGCTTGAAACACAATGAAATAACAGATAACTTGGCAAAATTAGCAGTTGTTAGTGGAGAGGTTATAACTCAGAATATACCGAGGTCAGATTTTGTGGGTTTTGTCAAGTCACATATTACGAACAAGTGGGACATACACTGGAAACAGTACTATAGCAATCAGATGACTCATTATGCAAGAATTCACCCAACTGTTAAGTTTAGCCCTTGGTACGCAAATAATTTCGTATGTAGAAGATACTATACGGCCATAGCACGACTTAAGTTTGGTCATGGAAGATACCCTTCCCATCTATTTAAAATTGGTGTTTTGGAGTCTCCCGCCTGTTCATGTGGTTTTGAAAGCGCTGACCTTAATCATATTTTTTTCGGGTGCAGTAAAACTGAACAATCTTCCGATCGAATGATGTCACAACTAATCAATTGTAAAATTAGTCGGCCCATTAATATAACTTCACTGCTAGCCAGTAATGACAAGAAAATTTATGATCATCTCATTGAATTTCTTAATAATATTAAATTAAATATATAAATAGGTTACAATAACTAATAAAATGCCTTTGTCTTTTATCCTTTGTTTGCCCTCCCATGTATCCAGGGTCTAAGTCATGTATGTCATAACTAAATGCCATGATGGACCTCTTGGCAAGAAGCGTGTGTCCCGGTATATCCTTTTAGTTAGCTAAAAAAGGTACAAACGTAGCTATATGGGCAACGATCCCTTAAATAGCTAAAATAAAAAAAAAAAAAAAGTGAACAGTTTTATTTCGTTGATAGATTATGATTAAATAATGTATAAACAACCCTTAAACTGCCCTTGAATAATAAATTTCCGTGGGCATTAAGCTTGCCAAATATTTTAAGTAATTCAAACTATAACTTACAGCATACTTAGAGTGCGGGGGTTGTAACTTTCGATATACAGTGAACATTTTTATTTCGTTGATAGATTATGATTAAATAATGTATAAACAACCCTTAAACTGCCCTCGAATAATAAATTTCCGTATGCATTAAGCTTGCCAAACATTTTAAGTAATTCCAACTATAACTTACAGCATACCTACTTAGAGTGCGGGGGTTGTAACTTTCGTAATACATTTTTATTTCGTTGATAGATTATGATTAAATAATGTATAAACAACCCTTAAACTGCCCTTGAATAATAAATTTCCGTATGCATTAAGCTTGCCAAATATTTTAAGAAATTCAAACTATAACTTACAGCATACTTAGAGTGCGGGGGTTGTAACTTTCGTAATACAGTGAACATTTTTATTTCGTTGATAGTTTATGATTAAATAATGTATAAACAACCCTTAAACTGCCCTTGAATAATAAATTTCCGTATGCATTAAGCTTGCCAAATATTTTAAGTAATTCAAACTATAACTTACAGAATACTTAGAGTGCGGGGGTTGTAACTTTCGTAATACAGTGAACATTTTTATTTCGTTGATAGATTATGTTTAAATAATGTATAAACAACCCTTAAACTGCCCTTGAATAATAAATTTCCGTATGCTTTAAGCTTGCCAAATATTTTAAGTAATTCAAACTATAACTTACAGCATACTTAGAGTGCGGGGGTTGTAACTTTCGTAATACAGTGAACATTTTTATTTCGTTGATAGATTATGTTTAAATAATGTATAAACAACCCTTAAACTGCCCTTGAATAATAAATTTCTGTATGGTTTAAGATTGCAAATATTTTAAGTAATTTAAACTATAACCTACAGCATACTTAGAATGCGGGGGTTGTAACTTTCGTAATACAGTTAACATTTTTATTTCGTTGATTGATTATGTTTAAATAATGTATAAACAACCCCCAAACTGCCCTTGAATAATAAATTTCTGTATGGTTTAAGATTGACAAATATTTTAAGTAATTTAAACTATAACCTACAGCATACTTAGAATGCGGGGTTGTAACTTTCGTAATACAGTTAACATTTTTAATTTGTTGATTGATTATGTTTAAATAATGTATAAACAACCCCCAAACTGCCCTTGAATAATAAATTTCTGTATGGTTTAAGATTGCCAAATATTTTAAATAATGTATAAACAACCCTTAAACTGCCCTCGAATAATAAATTTCCGTATGCATTAAGCTTGCCAAACATTTTAAGTAATTCCAACTATAACTTACAGCATACCTACTTAGAGTGCGGGGGTTGTAACTTTCGTAATACATTTTTATTTCGTTGATAGATTATGATTAAATAATGTATAAACAACCCTTAAACTGCCCTTGAATAATAAATTTCCGTATGCATTAAGCTTGCCAAATATTTTAAGAAATTCAAACTATAACTTACAGTATACCTACTTAGAGTGCGGGGGTTGTAACTTTCATAATAAAGTGAACATTTTTATTTCGTTGATAGTTTATGATTAAATAATGTATAAACAACCCTTAAACTGCCCTTGAATAATAAATTTCCGTATGCATTAAGCTTGCCAAATATTTTAAGAAATTCAAACTATAACTTACAGCATACTTAGAGTGCGGGGGTTGTAACTTTCGTAATACAGTGAACATTTTTATTTCGTTGATAGATTATGATTAAATAATGTATAAACAACCCTTAAACTGCCCTTGAATAATAAATTTCCGTATGCATTAAGCTTGCCAAATATTTTAAGTAATTCAAACTATAACTTACAGCATACTTAGAGTGCGGGGGTTGTAACTTTCGTAATACATTTTTATTTCGTTGATAGATTATGATTAAATAATGTATAAACAACCCTTAAACTGCCCTCGAATAATAAATTTCCGTATGCATTAAGCTTGCCAAATATTTTAAGAAATTCAAACTATAACTTACAGCATACTTAGAGTGCGGGGGTTGTAACTTTCGATAATACAGTGAACATTTTTATTTCGTTGATAGATTATGATTAAATAATGTATAAACAACCCTTAAACTGCCCTCGAATAATAATTTCCGTATGCATTAAGCTTGCCAAATACTTTAAGTAATTCCAACTATAACTTACAGCATACTTAGAGTGCGGGGGTTGTAATTTTCGAAATACAGTGAACATTTTTATTTCGTTGATAGATTATGATTAAATAATGTATAAACAACCCTTAAACACGCTCGAAGTTAAATCATTGAACCCTCAAAAGATTTTGTAATTTGAAGCTGAAAACTGTTTACCTAAGATTATAGTTCTTAAAAGTGAAATTTTTGTAGCACTGCCCTGTAAGTTGAAACTTGGAACAGACGGACGGACAAAACTATCAAATAGGAGGAATTTCTTTCGAAAAATTCCCTTACAAGCGCATTGTTTGAGTTTATGGCACACTTTTTATGTGATGGTTTTGTTCGTCTGTCTGTCTGTTCCCCCTCTAACTCGAGAAGAAAGGAGACAGCGATGTCAAACCTTTGCCAATCGATTTCTACGAGTTCAAGGATCAGTGCTATTCAATATGAGCCGGATCAAAAGTCTGGTTTCCGAATTCCCCTACTGAAAATCGTATGCGATTCTTCCTATCTTGTTATAAGTTTTAACATAATACTGTTTTGCGTTTAGAATATCTTCGCATTAAATGTGAAAGAAACATACACGTACAATATAATATAGTCTATGGAAAGAAAGTAACGTCTTTCTATCTGTTATAGAGTGTTCAGTCAATTTTCAAAATTATTCTACTTCAATCTAAAACATCGTTCTGTTTCTGTAACAGTTTTCCTTACAAAAAATAAATGTCAGTTCGACATGCCGTATTTACACATAAATCGCTTAGCATGTATGGGGCTATACAAATAAGTTTGTTTCAAGTTTACTTTTCAATTAAAACTTTGCACAATTTTGAGCTGCCCTGTTTCATTTACTATTGGTCTATCAAAATTGGTTGGACAGCTCTTTCACAATATGAAAAATTCCATAGATGCAAATTCAGTAGCAAAACACGACAGGTGCGGTCGACAACGACGTGCCACATTCCACCACGTAATTCCTTCTTGAATCAAAAACCGATTACAGTGACCACGTAATTCCTCATCGTCCACGGATTCGATCAAATCAATTTACGCAAACTGCGGCAATCACCTGGCGAGTATAAATAGTCAATTAGCGCAACTTTCGATTTCGCTTGAAAAATACCGAACGAAATCCTCGCAATCCCGGCCGGGACATTTTATAATAATAAGCGGCTCCGTTCGACAAAGCTAACGATCGCACTTCCTACAAATCCTTTTTTTCCAAAATTAATTAAAATAGTTCAGCTCCGACCTACACTATGATCACCGATTCCATCTTTAATTGGATGCATTGTCGCTCATTAATTTTTATCGCGAAAGAATTTTCGGGCATTCCTCCAACTCAAAACTGAACTAAACGGGGGCCGAATTGCCGTACGAGATTAATGGGACCTGTATATCTAATCAGAACTGTCAATTAAGGAGAACAGTCGGGTGTCGTTGAATTCCTCTCGACCGGCAAAAAATACGTCCCCGGTTCCATTTCATTTTATACCTTCGCTATCTGAATTTGTCTATCAAAGTTGCTCTTCTTACATATATAACCAAAAAATATCATTGTAACGAATGAATTCAATTGCAACATTTACAAAAACATCAATGCAGACTTTCAGAGGGGGTTGCACAAAGAACGAAACACGTGCGTGTTAGCATAATCGACAGGTGGCATATCCGGCCCCCTTTTCCTTCTTTCCATCATCGTCTTTCGCTTGTTTTCTGAGGGTTGATGATATCTTACTTTACAATACAAATTTTTGTGGGGTAGGCGCATCCAAGAAATCAAATTAAAGAGGATGACTGGCGCGAGGCGAGCGATCGTTTGCGTTATAGAGAAGGTGGAAAAAAATCAACAGTTTCGCATTCCCAAAGGGCGAAAGAGTGGTGTTCTCGGTTCGTGTTAACCACGAGCGAGCCTGGACATTCATTTTTAATGCAATTTTTGCTACCTGGAAGAGAAATTTAATTTATTTACGCAAGCTTTTCAGCATTTTCCTAAATTCATCACGCCTCTTTATGCGTTGGTTAACATAACGCTTTGATATTGTGACCATTACATTAGAATGTGGGGGTGGGTAGGACAGCCATTATAATTTTTACATGCTTTACATTCTGTTTATGTTTAAAAGTTCAAACAAGTTTCAATTTAAAGCTTTTAAAGAAGCCGCCACGTGTCGCAAAAAGATTCCACATCCTTCTATTTACAAAGCCATTATAATTTAGATTTAGTAGCCTTATTCTTAAAAAATTGGTAATCAGTTATTGCCCGCCGATCAGGGTGAAGTCTACCCCCAAAGTATAGAAAAATTCATATAGTATATTTTTAGAAAAAAGGTTTCACATACTAAACAATTTTTATACTTTCGGGGTAGATTTCACCCTGTCAAACGAACAGCAAGTGATTGAAAACGTTTTGCAGTTATTAGGGGTACATGAGAATTGATCTGTAGATATTAGAATGTGAAACATTTTTTGAAAGGGTTCTAAATGAATTTTTTTATACTTTTAGGGGTAGATTTCAACCTGTCAGATATTAGAACTACATGCGAATTGATCTATTGATATTAGAGTGTAAAACTCTTTTTGCAAGGGTTCTTCTTTGGAATTTTTTATTTTGGGAGTACATTTCACCCTGTCAGACTAGCGAAAAATGATTGAAATTTTTTTGCAGATACCCAGGGTACACGCAAATTAATCTGTAGATGTTCGAAGGTGAAACCTTTTTTGTAAGGGTTCTAAATGAATTTTTTTTGCCCTTTTAGGGGTAGATTTCAACATGTCAGATACTAGAGCTACATGCGAATTGATCTGCAGATGTTAGAATGTAAAACCCTTTTTGCAAGGGTTCTTATAAGGATTTTTTTTAATTTTGGGGGTACATTTCACCTTGTCAGACGAGCGGAAAATGGTTGAAATTTTTTTTGAAGATACTAGGGGTACATGCGAATTGATCTGTAGATGTTAGAATGTGAAACCTTTTTTGTAAGGATTCTAAATGAATTTTATTTACACTTTTAGGGGTAGATTTCAACCTGTCAGATACTAGAGCTACATGCGAATTGATCTGCAGATGTTAGAATGTAAAACCTTTTTTGCAAGGGTTCTTATAAGGAATTTTTTTTATTTTGAGGGTACATTTCACCCTGCCAGACGAGCGGAAAATGATTGAACATTTTTTTAAAGATGCTAGGGGTACATGCGAATTGATCTGTAGATGTTAGAATGTGACATATTTTTTGTAAGGGTTCTAAATTAATTTTTTTACACTTTTAGGGGTAGATTTCAACCTGTCAGATACTAGAGCTACATGCGAATTGATCTGCAGATGTTAGAATGTAAAACCCTTTTTGCAAGGGTTCTTATAAGGCATTTTTTTATTTTGGGGGTACATCTCACCCTGTCAGACGAGCGGAAAATGATTGAAATTTTTTTAAAGATGCTAGGGGTACATGCGAATTGATCTGCAGATTTTAGAATGTGAAACCCTTTATGCAAGGGTTCTTATAAGGAATTTTTTTTATTTTGAGGATACATTTCGCCCTGTCAGACGAGCGGAAAATGATTGAAATTTTTGTGAAGATACTAGGGGTACATGCGAATTGATCTGTAGATGTTACAATGTGAAACCTTTTTTGTAAGGATTCTAAATGAATTTTATTTACACTTTTAGGGGTAGATTTCAACCTGTCAGATACTAGAGCTACATGCGAATTGATCTGCAGATGTTAGAATGTAAAACCCTTTTTGCAAGGGTTCTTATAAGGAATTTTTTTATTTTGGGGGTACATTTCACCCTGTCAGACGAGCGGAAAATGATTGAAAATTTTTTGAAGATACTAGGGGTACATGCGGATTGATCCGTATATGTTAGAATGCACAACTTAGTTTGCAAGGGTTGTTAATGAATTTTTTTAAACTTTTAGGTGTAGATTTCAACTTGTCAGACGTGCGATAAATGATTGAAAATTTTTTTGCAGATACTAGGGGTATATGCGAATTGATCTGTAGATGTTAGAATGTAAAACCCTTTTTGCAAGGGTTCTTATAAGGAATTTTTTATTTTGGGGGTACATTTCACCCTGTCAGATACTAGAGCTACATTGCGAATTGATCTGCAGATGTTAGAATGTAAAACCCTTTTTGCAAGGGTTCTTATAAGGAATTTTTTTATTTTGAGGGTTCATTTCACCCTCTCAGACGAGCGGAAAATGATTGAACATTTGTTTCAGATACTAGGGGTACATGCGAATTAATCTGTACATGTTAGTATGTGAAACGTTCTTTATAATGGTTCTAAATTACTTTTTGTATACTTTGGGGGTAGATTGCACCCTGCCAGACGAGTGGTAAATGATATTAGATAGATACATGCGAATGAATTTGTGGCTGTCAGAATATGAAACCCTTTTGTAAGGGTGCTATATGATTTTTTAATGTTTTGTTGTCTTGTTCAATAGCTTTATATTAGTCCTAAGGGAGAGATTCAAATTGAATTTTAGTTTAGGTACTAGAAAATGGCTGCTATTCGAGAGTCAATGCGCAAATATATTTTTTATGGTTAACGGCGCTACTGGTCGTTCATTAGTTCAACTTCTTGTTCCTCTGAAGGCACATACTCAATTCTAATTTGACCAGAATCCAAACTCCAAACCACAGGAGTACATTTGCAGTCCATTTCATTGAGAATCCTTGTGTCCCAGATAGCTTCTCCTACAGGCAAACTTGCTGAACAGTCTCTGATTGGGGTCCCTTCTCACGATGAATCAATCAATCAATCGGAAACAGCAAAATGCTAAGCTAAGCAATGAAATGGTCTTATTGTGCGATACTCTTCAGCAAATTACTTTGTCCATTTCGCGTTCGTTTCAAAAATGACGACGGCGTCTTCTTCACGAGCCTGTTTACTTTGTAAAAGAAAACTTAACCAATTCCCATTGTATTTTGTTGGCGATAATTTAAATGTTACCTTTCGCCATTCTTTTGCGGATAACAAATCACTGCTCAATATTCGTATATTCAATTTGTTTTGCGCAAGTAAAGAAAAACTTGTTACATTCCTCGTGAAACCGCAATCAATACTCCATTAAAACTTGAAATACGTTCACGAAACTTTTCAAACCCGACTTACATTATGTAAGTTTTAATGTAATAAGCGGTCCGACTGCAAGAAACATATTTGGGACGACGTTATTACATTTTCAAATTGAGTCGCGTCGCTGCTGGATTAAACGGGGGACGATAAAAAACGTGGAGAAATGCCCTCTTTGTGTCTGCGGATTACGCTAACTAAACCTCTTAAGACAAAAGGCAAAAGCGCAATCCGATTATACAAAAACAAATTTTGTAATGTTGATTTAGGCAAATCGGATTAGTGTATAATGTATAATTTTTGTTGCAGGGGCGGCCAGTTTATGCGGACCGGCGAAAAAATTCGTCTACCGGACGACGTCACCATGGGATACATCATCGGTAAGTAGGAAATATCAATTGAATTAAACGGTGGCAATTGTAAACTATAGGTTTAATCCGTCTCTTTTCACTTTGCAGAGCATTTGCTGAAGAAACCGTTGACTGTCGTTAATCAATTTCATTCGCATCTGGAGCCGATGAAGTTCATACGAAGGGAGCTACTTAAAGATCAGGTGAGTCCACTTTTATTTTGAGCTTATGAAACAAATTGTCCAGTCTGCATCTTTTATCGCAAGAAAATTACACTCAAGGTTAGGCAGCCTGAATCTCAAAATCCCGAAAAATTCCATTCCGATCTCAAACTGAAAGCTCATACTGTTCTGTGATTCGGTCTAAACACCAAAAATAACGACGGGACACCCTGTATATGAGAGTATTTCAATTTGAAACTTGAAACTTTGACATATGCCTGGCGTCGCCGCCTCTCCCAGGATTTAGTCAACTGTCGTGAGGATGCGTCCCTGGTAGACACTATCAGGGACGTTTCTCCACTACTTTGTTGCCATCGCGCTGGGCCGCGACATATGCCAAGCAATGTGGTGGATTTTGCGGATTGGGGGCATTGTGGGGGGGCGGCTAACTGGGTGTTATCCGACTCGATCGCCCTGAGAAAACCGACTGAGTTTGAAAATTATTTTTAGTGGAACTGGGCATAATTTTTCGAACTTTATTAACGTTTTTTAAGAGATGATACGTGTAGATTTGTTATCAATTTAAATTGTTCAACAATTCCCACCCAATCATACCTTACATTAGCTCGATCGCCCGCATTACGTTCCCTGAGAGAACCGACTAAGTTTGAAAATTATTTTTGGTGGAACTGAGCATAATTTTTCGAACTTTATTAGCATTTTTTAAGGGATGATACGTGTAGATTTGTTATCAGTTTGAATATTTTAACAATTTCCACTTAAGCTTCCCTTAAATCGTCTCGATCGTACGCATTACGTTCCCTAAGAAAACCGACTAAGTTTGAAAATTATTTTTAGTGGAACTGAGCATAATTTTTCGAACTTTATTAGCATTTTTTAAGGGATGATACGTGTAGATTTGTTATCAGTTTGAATATTTTAACAATTTCCACTTAAGCATCCCTTAAATAGTCTCGATCGTCCGCATTACGTCCCTAAGAAAACCGCCTAAGTTTGAAAATATTTTTAGTGGAACTGAGCATAATTTTTCGAACTTTATTAGCATTTTTTAAGGGATGATACGTGTAGATTTGTTATCAGTTTGAATATTTTAACAATTTCCACCTAAGCATCCCTTAAATAGCCTCCATCGTACGCATTACGTTCCCTAAGAAAACCGCCTAAGTTTGAAAATATTTTTAGTGGAACTGAGCATAATTTTTCGAACTTTATTAGCATTTTTTAAGGGATGATACGTGTAGATTTGTTATCAGTTTGAATATTTTAACAATTTCCACTTAAGCATCCCTTAAATAGTCTCGATCGTACGCATTACGTTCCCTAAGAAAACCGACTAAGTTTGAAAATATTTTTAGTGGAACTGAGCATAATTTTTGGAACTTTATTAGCATTTTTTAAGGGATGATACGTGTAGATTTGTAATCAGCTTGAATACTTTAACAATTTCCACCTAAGCATCCCTTAAATAGCCTCCATCGTACGCATTACGTTCCCTAAGAAAACCGACTAAGTTTGAAAATTATTTTTAGTGGAACTGAGCATAATTTTTCGAACTTTGTTAGCGTTTTTTAAGGGATGATACGTGTAGATTTGTTATCAGTTTGAATATTTTAACAATTTCCACTTAAGCATCCCTTAAATAGTCTCGATCGTCCGCATTACGTCCCCTAAGAAAACCGCCTAAGTTTGAAAATATTTTTAGTGGAACTGAGCATAATTTTTCGAACTTTATTAGCATTTTTTAAGGGATGATACGTGTAGATTTGTAATCAGCTTGAATACTTTAACAATTTCCACCTAAGCATCCCTTAAATAGCCTCCATCGTACGCATTACGTTCCCTAAGAAAACCGCCTAAGTTTGAAAATATTTTTAGTGGAACTGAGCATAATTTTTCGAACTTTATTAGCATTTTTTAAGGGATGATACGTGTAGATTTGTTATCAGTTTGAATATTTTAACAATTTCCACTTAAGCATCCCTTAAATAGTCTCGATCGTACGCATTACGTTCCCTAAGAAAACCGACTAAGTTTGAAAATATTTTTAGTGGAACTGAGCATAATTTTTCGAACTTTATTAGCATTTTTTAAGGGATGATACGTGTAGATTTGTAATCAGCTTGAATACTTTAACAATTTCCACCTAAGCATCCCTTAAATAGCCTCCATCGTACGCATTACGTTCCCTAAGAAAACCGACTAAGTTTGAAAATTATTTTTAGTGGAACTGAGCATAATTTTTCGAACTTTGTTAGCGTTTTTTAAGGGATGATACCTGTAGATTTGTTATCAGTTTCAATATTTTAACAATTCCCACCTTAGCTTCCCTTAAATCGTCTCGATTGTCCGCATTACGTCCCCTAAGAAAACCGCCTAAGTTTGAAAATATTTTTAGTGGAACTGAGCATAATTTTTCGAACTTTATTGGCGTTTTTTAAGGGATGATACGTGTAGATTTGTTATCAGTTTGAATATTTTAACAATTTCCACTTAAGCTTCCCTTAAATCGTCTCGATCGTACGCATTACGTTCCCTAAGAAAACCGACTAAGTTTGTAAATTATTTTTAATGGAACTGAGCATAATTTTTCGAACTTTATTAGCATTTTTTAAGGGATGATACGTGTAGATTTGTAATCAGTTTGAATATTTTAACAATTTCCACTTAAGCATCCCTTAAATAGTCTCGATCGTACGCATTACGTTCCCTAAGAAAACCGACTAAGTTTGAAAATTATTTATAGTGGAACTGAACTTCGATTTTTCGAACTTTGTTAGCGTTTTTTAAGGGATGATACGTGTAGATTTGTTATCAATTTGAATATTTGAACAATTCCCACCTAAACATCCCTTAAATCGTTTCGATCGTCCGCATTACGTTCCCTAAGAAAACCGACATGTTTGAAAATTATTTATAGTGGAACTGAGCATAATTTTTCGAACTTTGTTAGCGTTTTTTAAGGGATGATGCGTATAGATTTGTTATCAGTTTGAATATTTTAACAATTCCCACCTAAGCATCCCGTAAATCGCCTCGATCGTCTGCATTACGTTTCCTAAGAAAACTGACTGAAAATTATTTATAGTGGAAGTGAGCATAATTTTTGGAACTTGGTTAGCGTTTTTTAAGGGATGATACGTATAGATGAGTCAGAATATATCCCACCCAATCATCCCTTAAATTAGGATTATTGACTTTAATATCAAAATTCATACTTAGAACACCTTTGTTAAAAGTATTATTTGGTGTTTGAGCGTGGAATTCTGGTTTAAATACCCAAAGTTCGATTTTGAAACGGAATATCGAATTCAACTTTGGAATTTTGGCGTTGAACTGTTAATCTGGAGATTTCGAGTTTAAACTTAACATTCATGTAAAAACACTATAGAATTCCTTTCTTAAACGTATTTCCCTGTATTTTTCTCATTATAAGCATAGAATTCTGGTTTAAATGAAAAAAATTTTAATTTCGACTTGAAACTTGGAATTTCGGCTATGAACTTAAAATCTGGACATTGAGAAAGTAAACATTCTGACTTTAAACGTAATTTGAGCTTTGATCGCGGAGTTTCGGTCTAGTCTAAGTCTGTTTTTAAACGGAATGCTGATTTCAAATTGGGAATATCGACTATAAATTCAAAATCTGAAAATTGGACAATTAGAAATTCGACTACAAACTCAACATTCACACTTTTAGACATAGCATTCCTTTCATAAACGTAGTATTCCAACTTTGAATACGGAATTCCGATTTAAATGCCGATTTTGGAATGGAATATCAACTTCAAACCAAGAATTAGTAGTTTCGACTTTAAATTCAAAAATTCATTCTTTTATTACACATAGAATTCTGTTCCCAACGGTGCCGTTCAGATTTGGATCGCGAAATTCCGATTTAAATACACTAAGCTCCGCTTTCGAAACGGAATTCCGTGCTTCCTCCTAATATTGAATTGCAATTGCAAAGGGCGGATTGTCTATGAGACCTTCTTCAATTTTTCAAGGGCTTACCGTTTTCTGAAGAGAATTTTAATAGAACTCGGCTCCAGTGTATATAAGATTTAAAAAAAAGCGCAAGCTTGTAGTTCTGGGTGAGCTTTCAGTAGACAAAGATATTGAGGTCGCAAAACCACAATTTCTCAATTTTCTAGGACGAATTAAATGTACTTAGCAATTTAAGGATAAATTCAAGTTGCACCCACTCTCTTGATTCGCAATATGAAATGAAATTATAACCGCGTCGCACCTGCTTCGTAATCCCTAATTATTTATTCCATTAATTTCGGCCTAAACATAAACTAATAATTTTCATTTCATTACAGATCTCATTCAGCTACTCGTCGAACAATATTATTAAATTGGAGGGATTTGATATCTTGCGTGATCCCACAAGGTAAGTGACCTTTTCGTAATTGTTATTTCCTCGTTAAACTCAGTGACGTAATCCCGTAAATTAGTCTCATTAAGGAACGCACCTGCACAAACAGCCTTCCTTCCACTTTAGCCGGGGGAATTCGCGCGGGGGTGACGTTGGCAATTTTTCGTCGATCTGTACAAACGCTTAATTACGCCATTGATTATTAGTTTGATGTCAATACGCCGCCGTATATGGCGGGCGTCGCATAATAGCTTCATTAATGCATTTTGAATTTGCCTGTCAGTGCTAGTTAACCAACATTGTCCAGCGTCCATCCCGATAATTATTATTTAAGAAACTCTATCTCCATAATCGGCCATAAATTCAAATTAAGGCATCTATTTTTGTACACTAAAGCTAAACCAACATTGACCAAAGTACTCTTGGAGTAGTAACCCTTTCGTCATTCTTGCAGGTTTCTGTCGCTACACTGCCTGCTATTCCCATACTTCGACTTTTGCCCGAGGTGAGATGAGGCCCCCTCGGCAGCGGCGGAAGAAGAAGAGGCCAACGAATTGTGATCAATACAGAAGCACTTTGGGTGCAATTTTTCTTTGTGATGTCTTTAGGAAATAAGTACACTGTAAATACAAAACCGTATCCTTACTTTTTTATTAACTAGTCTGATTAGGGCAACTAAGTTTGTAAAAAACGAGCAAATGAATGACAACCAAGAATAATACATATTAATTTTTATAGGTGTAGTTTGGATTTTTGTATAATTTGTAACGTTGGTAGCTAGAAATGTCTACTAGTCTCGTTCTTTGTACATAATGTGCAATTTTATATCTACTGTATTATTGAAGAGTATTTTTTAATGTAAATAGTTTTATACTGTACATACCACGTATTATAATTTATGAACGGTTGATCAATTTTTTATATGTTTATACAATGTAAATAAAGGAGAAGAGATTTTGTACTTTATTTGACAATTTTCAGACAAACCAACAATGAAATTGGTTTGACTTAATTTCTCACCCAGCTAGCAATTGAGCCTTGAGGTGTCATTCGACGTCGATTCGACTTGAAATAAGTAACGACACCAATTTCAATAAGTGCAGTATAACATAAATTCGACGTCGAATCGACTTAAGTGGTGTTTTTTGACACGTCGATTCGATGTGAGAAATAAGTTAAATACTAATAGGTGTTAGGTGTCTAGACACCTTATTAGGTAATTTTCTACGTCAAATCGGCGGATTACTTATTTTCTACATGTCGTTTTGAACTTATAACCATACTTCATTATTGTCCTCTCTTTTTAAAGAATAGTAGGTATCTACACTTAATAAGAATACTGTTATGAACTTTATATGTAATTTCTCTGGAAATGGCGGATGGTGGCAATTATTCATTTTAGAGAACTTGTCCAAACGTTTATTGAGCGAAATTTCGGGTTGTTTTTCTAAAAGTGACAGCGTGACAGTTCTCATTATTGACTACTAGTTAATAATGTCCACATTATTAACCACTTTGAACAAATGCCGAGAAAGCCTACTTTACAAGTGGAAAAAAGGTTAATAATCATGTCATCAGACGCTAGTAGTGAAAAAAAATAATTATTCGTTTTTCATTTTTATAGTTGTACATTTTTGGCAGTTTAAGTATTTTATTCAAACATACAATCATTAATAATACCTAAATATAATTATATTTTAATTGTATAACACATATTTATTCATTAATGCTAAAAAACATGTATGATGATATTTCGGCCATCTACGCTAGCCAATAAATATGTCTGCCTTCTCGTTATATTAATCTAATAAGTAGAATACCCTAATTTGCACCTATATTTTCGACCTCATGTTTCAAGTTGGTGAAGAACAAGCTACTTTTGATACCTGTAACCTGTTACCTAATTGGTGTACAATATTACCAATTTTTATACACCTAATTGTAACAAATTCATGTAAATACCGTATTATATACTTATTGGTGGTCTCTTTAAGTATACCTAATACGTGTAATCGCAACTAAGTATGTTGGGAATTCGACCTAACTAACTAAACCAACCTATTACTTGTGTAAGTCCAACACCAAACTCCACCTACGTTCACTAAATCGACACCTATTAGGAGCGCATGTAACTTCTTTTGGTAGATTAATACACCTGTTAGCAACACAACTTATGATTGTAACCTACTACCAGGGATTCACAACCTATTACCTATTGTTTAGGTCGACATTGATACCTACTATTATCTCTTTACCCAACAGATGCAGTAAAGCTCCTCCCAAAAAAATCCCGGCAAATTTAAATGAACATTTTTAATTGGCCGAATTTTCAAAACCTGTAACACACGCAACTATTTGCTCCCAATTATAATTGCTGCACCTGAATTGACATCCTTAACCTCAAACCTGTCACTGCGTTTTGTATTTGTCTTGCCTCAATTTCTCGTTAATTTCATTTATACGAACAAAATAATCTTTCTGAACTTAATAAACAATTTGAAACTATGTACTGCTGTGTGTTCAAAGATCAATATTCAAAACATAACACTTTATAACTTCGTCGTACAATGTGACATGCGATTTTAAATTTCCCGGTTTTTATAATTTTGTGACTGTAAAACGGGTCTGTTATTACATTGGCCCAAATTTATTGGGAGTGGCTTAACTGCATCTGTTGGGTGAACAGATTATAGTTGAAACAGATCGGCACTTTCGCGCCATTATTTTACTCGAGTGAAATATATTTATTTTGGTGAAATGCTACTAAATAGGTGATCTGTCGTTTCGACCAATAGGTCGAAAAACTTAATGGTGAAATATTCAAGTCATTTCAACCTATTGGTCGAAATGTAAGTAACTGTATTCTCTTATTAGGTGTCTATGAAATTTTCTTCTATTCCTATTTAGTCATTTTGTCGACTTTGGCCTATATCTCCTATTAGGTTATATTTATGACGTGAACAAAGTTACCTAATAAGTCATGGAACGAATATATTACCAATTAGGTAACAAGCGTCCCTTTAGTTAGGTTACAAATTGGTACAAATAAGGTCCTTCTACCTACTGCTCCTATTAGGTGATACAAAGTTAGGTATATGCCACTCCTTAATTGGTATTTTTAACGTACCTCACCTATTAGGTGACCATTTTCCACTACCATAGTTTGTTGGATCCTAATAAGAGTTTATTTCACCAATATGTCACCAGTGCCTAATAGGTAACATATTTACTTTGACCTATTTAACATAAACATTACATAATTTCCACCTACTTTGGTCGAATTTCTTTTGCCTCAGGTTGCCGACACCTAAATTGCTAGCTGGGCATGTGGTCCTCCCTTATTTAACCTTATTCCCATTCGGGAGCAGGACATTTGATGTATTTCAGGCAGTTACATTGGTAAATCCGCCACCCCTCCAAGTAGGGATTGTGATTATTTCTTTCATTATAACCCGAAATTTGTAATTTCAGCGTAGAATGGCTCATTCGTCTTTTATACGATATGTGAAAATCGTTATTCCTGATAGTTGTGGAGATTTGAGGTAGAAACTGGCACAAACACAGACATGTGACGAAGCCCTTAAAGCATCCATCTATGCATGCGCGTATTACACGTTCCAAAACAACACAGTAGGTAACTTATATAAATAATTTACATAAATACGCAACGGCCCAAGGAAAGTTGTATGAAAATCCCTTCGTGAAAATAAATCTGACGTGGCAACTGTTCGTGACAGTTACATGAGGGTATAAAATTTAAAATCCCTCGACTTCTTAAAAGAGCGGTTTCGTCGAAGAATTCGAAGCGATTACAAAGATAATAAAATACGAATGCTGAAGTTTTCCGCGGCCCTCATATTTTCATATATGATCATCATTCCGCGAGCAAAATTTAAAGATTAAGTTTGGACCGAAAAGTTTAAAAATAAAATTCATTGCCGACATACGACCGCCTTCGCTTCGGATTAGCGAAAAATGAAAAAGCTCAATACCTACAATTCGGCTAAATTATTAACTCAAAAGTTCAAGTGGTTTCAGAATATCAAGTTGATGTTACAAGAGGTCATTATTGAAGGATATGCCTATCCTTCAAATGGCACTTGAATTCTGTATTCAGAGAAAAAATATTTGCGTTTTGATTCAAACTGTCTAAATTATATGAACCTGGGAAGTTATCCTGTCTTGATTTAATTACTGGGTAGTGAAACTAAAAGGGTGATTCGCTTCTAACCACAAATCGCCTCAGTAGTTTCTCATATCCAAAAATTAAGCTTTTTCAAAGGCGAATTCCTGGGTAAAGCGTAATAAATTATAAATTGTTTATCACATAATTTTCCTGCGGCCCTTATGAATGAAAGAAAAACGTTTTGCTCAAAAAAGAATAAAAAACCATTGAAACCTCATTTTTAATCAATTTTTATTTTAAAAAATGTAAAAAAACTATAACTTTGGTTCACCCTTTGCGTTTTGCCGATTTCCAAATGATTTGTCAAAAGACTTCTACAAATATGATACTAAGATTGCGAAGGATTTAAATTCTCCTCGTATCAGTCACTTTACTTACAGTTTGGATCAATATAAAATGACGTTTCCCTGTATTGGACAATATTGGAAAAATGACGAATTGTCCACTTTACCAGAGTGAAAAGTACCAAGCAGTTATCTTTTTTAGCTTCTTAGCTCGAGCCAGGTGGCTATTGCGATTACGGTTTCTGGCCATATCTTAATTTAATCATTTAATTTAATGTGATGTGCAAAGTATGAAAATATACTTTATCATTTCGAGTTGGATTTCTGAGATTTTGAACTATGTTTAGGGGATTATTTTGGTTTTGTTAACATTTTGGCAGTGGGCATTAGGCATCTGGTTTGAGCTAGGAAGCGGTTCTGTCAAAAATCTAGCACCTGGTTTTTAGTAAGCTGCGATGCTTTTTAATTAATGAGTAGAAAAACTAATGAGGTGATTTGGATTTTACGACAAATCACCTCGATAGTTTCCCATACACAAAAACTAATTTAATTATAAAGGAAATGAGAGGAATCGAAAAGTAACACTCAAAATCGTCAAACTTACCAGGAAGATTTGACAAGTTGCTGTTCATTTCTCATTTTCAATTAGTTCTCTTGGCAAAGGTGTCTGTGTGGCACCTTAGTTTCAATTACTCACACCTTGGATAACCGTATTTTATGACTAAAAATTACATAAAAACGATTTACCAAAGCATGAGCAACAAAATCAATATCTTGTTTTATTCGTGGTTGATTAGTGAGTAGGGAAACTATAAAAGTGATTTGAATTCGATTACAAATCACATTTATAGCTTCTGATACTCAAAAACTCTCTTCAAATTTCCAACTTCCAACAAAACATTCGTATAATCTGCTCTTAAAGGTGAAGTTGGAAGGTAACTCCTGTAGGAATGGGTCAAAGGAGACAAGTTTAACACATCACAACTTGCCCTCTCTTTGGCTCGTTCACACAAAAATTATAGACATTTAAACAGGATTGCAAAAGCGATGCTCTTTATCAGCGCAATTGAGAACTAGGCAATTCAAACAATCGGAAACAGGATAATCGTAGGGACTAAAAACAGATCAACAATTTTAAATTGTTAATGCACCAGTCTTAATTTCTAGTCAAGAATACTCGAAATTATTTATTTATTTTTGGTCTTTATTTTTAGGCGAGCGAGGTTTGAACATTTAATTTTAATCTCAACGGACGGATCTTAATTCAATGAGACTTTTATTGGAGAGCCTTAACCAATCAACTTTCTTAATCCCAGTCAGCTGAGGGAGGCTTAAGTAACGTACTTATACCTTATTATACTAATTCCTATGCAAACAGGCCAAAAAGCCCAATTGAGCTCACTACAACTTGGCCTCCTTGGCCCACTCGCACAAGAATGGTTTTTTTAGACTTATACTTTTTGGAATGGAATATACAGACCG